ATTTCTATGGAACCATTTATTATTCATACAGGGCGCGTCATTAGTGCATGTTCCTCTCTATAGTTGCGCTAGCTAGAAGGACACGTCAAGAATCGAAAAAAATTCAAAATTCAAAGGAAAAATAGTTTCACTGTTTATGTAATGAGTAGAGTCAGATTCTCGGTCAGATTGCAATGAATATGCACTGAATATGTCACTTACAATAAGAGCGCTAACACCATCCAACCGCGAAATGTTCTTTGCATCTGACTGTACATAATATAAAGGCTTTTTCACTAATCTCTTGCTTTCATTACCGGCCATTACGTTTTTTCTTATTTAAGGACTATGATACCTTTATGCACCACCTTCTTTTAATTTTAAACTCTTCTTCTTGATCAAAACATAGTCCTCAGCGTACTTAGCCCGATGAGAATATTTGTGTTATAACATTCAGTGATCACATACAATAAGAATCATTCATTCATATAGTTTACGAAGTCTAATTTGAACATACGACTAGAATTTTCAGAATTTTCAACCTCATTTTGGTCAAAGAAGAGGAAGAAATAGTTTGCCTGACTTCTGACAGCATCGCGCCTGCGCAACTCACAGTTTTATTTTTATTTGTCTTTAATGGTGGATTTATAAACTCAACTAAACTAAGAACTTGATTCAACAATTAGCAATTAACAATTATCAACTATAAGGAGGCGTTTATAATTATCATTTACTGAAAATTTAGAATTAGTTCTTTTATTGTTCCCTGCTTGACGTTTGACCGTTCTGGGCGTTCTGTGATAAATGATCATTCATTCTTCATCCATGTTTTTTGTTATGTTATGTTTGATAAAAGGGTTGATTTCCTTCCTGATGAAAAATATTTCATATTCATTGGCCTTATCTTGAATCTCCGATTTCTTTTCTTCTTGATGACTCCGGTGGCAAGTAACATTGTAGTAACCAGTAAAATAACACCCATCATTTCAATAATCTCTTCTGTATCCATTGTTAATTCTTCGAATTCACTCACCCTATTATAAACTCCGTATCCATAGACAAGATATATTTCATATTTTCGCGGTCTTCAATTCCATAATGTCAATGTCAAAAAATATTATGCCTTATGCGCATGCGTTGAATTCATAATTGTTAATTCTTAGTTGAAGAGATGAAAGATGGCCATCTCCTTAGTTGTTAATTGTTAGTTTAATTGACAGATACAAGTTTATAAAACCCCAATGGGATTTCCATGTATTCATCTTTCTTAATTCTCAGTTGTTAATTTAATTGTTAGTTTAGTTGAGTTTATAAATCCACCATAAGAGATAAAAGTTGGTCATCCCTTTGCGAATAGTTAAAGAAAAATAAAATTCAATTTAGGTGCATAAATGAATGAACGAGAATATCAAGTTTCAACTTATTAGTGAAATCGTTAATGATTGTGAAGTTAAAGATTAATGGAAAAGCTGTGTGCATAAATCCGCCCTAAGACGACTCTATTGGACGAGTCGGCTAAAGTTCATAAAGTGGCACATTAACTCAAAAAAAGTCAGCGTTACACCCTGTATGTTTTTAGTAATTAGTACCTATCTGGATTTAACCACATCCGTTCTTGAAGATATTTCATTGGGATGTAAAAATTGGTCGACATTAAAATTACCGCCAACCTCAATGATAAGCAATGATTTTCCTGCTTTCAGTTGCCTTCATAAAGGAAATATTATTTGTATGTCTCAGTAACATTGTTGAAGTGGTAACGTGAATGTGAATTTCCGGAGTATTTTCGCTGATTCATGGGGAAAATCGGTAAATATCAATTTGTTTCTTTATGATGTATACTTAAAACATTTCAATCAAATGACTTTTCCATTGATTTACCCAATAAATATTAAAAAAAAAACATTGTCATCAAAATATTTAGGTGATAGATGGAATCCCAAACGCGTAAAATTAGGTTTTATGTATAGGTTATTCACCCCATAGATCTAACAAACTTTATGAGTGAAAACCTATCCATAATTATCTGCTATTTTCAGCACCAATTCTATTTGATATAGAAATTTCGTGAATCAGAACTGTTTTCTATTTTTCTTCAAAATTGATTGGCAGACCGTTAATATTCCCGAAAATATCGCGCCCCTCTCGAAAGATAATATCCGATGGATCAGTGTAAAACTCAATGTGTGGATTTGAATGCTTGTAGTGCGAGTACCACATGAACTTTATCTTCTGTATTCTGTGGTTTTAAACTGGTCCATCGGATAATATCTTTTGACAGGGGCGAAATAATCTCGGAATTATTGATGCTCTGCCACTAACTTAGAACATGTTGAATCGCAGCACGTTTTGGATATTCGCAAAGGGTTCATTATTCCCATTAATTTGCTTTTTGTTTCAAGTCGTTATCACATGGCAGAAATAATATCTCGTTATCAAATCCCAAAATTGAGTACAAATAATACAATATTTTTACATGCCCCCTATACTATTAATCTCGCTATTAATCAATCACGATTCCCCTTCAACAAATCACAATTCCCATTGAATTTTCAAAATTCCTCTCAAATTCTCATAACTGTCCTCTAATTGAATTGATCTATAAAAGGAGATTGTCTGGGTGATGTTGGGTCAACATTATTCCAGGTGTTCGTATCTAACAAAAAAGTATAGTACCAGCGAGTCACAAGAAGAAATCGTCTATCCCAAAAAATCGAATCAACTATTATTTTCAAACAGTACCTCTGACTTGATTATCCTATTTTCATGATAGCTATGCTATATCAGAATCTGACAATGTACGTGTTCGTTTTCTTATTTCAGTTCCAAAGAATATGATTGTTGTGTTATTTATACACACACCGGCAAAAAACGGCCAGCAAAATAATTAGCCAAATTGATCGCCCTGTAACATTTTTAATTCTTGTCCGATTGTGGTGAAATTTCGTCCAAATTGAAGATTTATGTGTCAACATTTTAACCTGACCAAAAAAGCTGATGACTTGATTATTATACAAGGAAAAACAAAAGTTACTATTTCACGCTTAACTTCTTAACGACACCTATCGGAGTTCTTGAAAGCTGTCTAAGCGGTATGTTTACTTTATTTTCATTGGCTCACATTTGTATTTTCGTTTGTGCTTATTGATCACATCATCGAAACAAACCGCTCAGAAGTGTTCAAGTTGTTGCCGTCAGGTGGAGCGACGTGTTATTTTCTATCGCGAATAGCTTGTCAACAAGCGGAGGTATACCGGGTGGGTGCGATGGCTCATCAACGTTTGCAAAATGTCATTTTTCTGCGATCGTGCGAAAAGTTACTACTTTCTGAACTGTTCAGTGTGCAAGAAAGTTGAAGAAATACTTCAATTCTCTCATAAATACCAGTTCAATCTGAGAATTGGGAATTAATGATATTCATTGTATTGTGAATTACTCTTGATAAAATTTGAAATAAAAATAAATTCAACTCGATCGTAGAAAAAATGTTGTGTGAAACATATGCAAGAGCATATTTCCTGCACTAATGACTCATGATTGTTGCTCTCGACATCATCTGAGCTGCAAACTTTTTGCAGTAGTCCAAGCGGCAGGGAAAGTGGCTTTCTCCTGCCGCTTAACAGGCAGAAAAGGTGTACTTTTACTGCCTAGGCAAAAAAGTTTGTTGCTATGCAACGTTACAAGAAATTCTAATAAAATTAGTAATCAAAATTTTCACTGACATTGGATGGACGAAAATGATGGAGTTTTCAATAAAAAAAAACACTAAATTGGTTTCATATCATTTGGAGAAAAAATTCTATTTTTCACACGGCAGCAAAGGTAGATTGACTGCCTTCTTAATTCCTAGCCTCGCTACGCTCGGCTATGAACTATCAGCCGCGACAATCAATCTACTTTCTGCCTAGTGAAACAAATAACCTCGCAAATAACTATATATTCCATATTTTTGTTACTCTATTCAAAAAAATTTGCTGCATCAACTACTGAAGAAATAGTTATTTATTATACAAGGGAAAAAAGTAGTAGATTTTAGCTCCAGGTTGTGTTGTCTCGACGCGTAGCGTAGGGAGACAAAAAACCGTAATATTTTTCCCGTGTATAATACACTATTTTTTTCTGTGATTGAAGGAAGGACGAATCAATATTGAGAAGATATTACATTATTTCGAAATCTGAAAATTATCGACGTGAAATTTCAAGTTTTTAACAGTGGGGACACCTGCGTTTTATAGGCATCTTTATCATTCTTTTGAAGTAATCAAATATCTGATGTCACTTCTGTCAGTTCAATTCTGTGATTTGATTTTAAAAAATTGCGAATTCAGTAGTTGTTTAGTAATATACGAAACCGCGAAGTCGAATGGAAGATAAAAGGACTTGCAGTTCTTTCTCGGAGACGGTATTATTGACTCATTTTTCGGCACTATAGCACAACAAAAGCCATTAACAGAGTATATATATGTGATATATATCCGGGAAAGAAGTACTCACTTTTTTCCCACGGGAAAAAAATAATTTATGAAAAGTGACATTTTATAACCTGCCAACAGAGATGAAATGCCAAACTTTTTTCCCGTCACAGAAAAAAAACATTGATTGTATAATTATTGGAAATGGAACTAATTGTGTGTTTACTAGATTTATACTGAATATATTTGAATTCTTATTTTCAATTTCTAGTGACCAAGCGACTTGACCATGAAAAATAAGAAAATTGTCTGCGGTGCAGTTTTCGATATATTTTGCTCCCAGCTTCCTCATGTACGACACTCACGACACGTCACTAAATGCAGTCTGTCTCAGTTGATAACTGAACTGACGCTTCCGTGTTAGCAGTTATCTTCGAAGTGTTCATCTTCTTCTCGGTTCATTGCAGGTCGGCCCTACAAACGCTGCACAAGGTGAGCTCGAAGGCGCGCGAGCAGAACTACTTCCGGGGCGGCGCCACCCACTCGTGGGCCGACTACTATGCGAGCCGCATCGAATCGGACCGATCGTGTCTCAACGAGTGGCACGCCATGGACGATCTGGAGTCGAAGCGGCCGCCGTCGCCCGACTCCGTGCGGACGAAGCCGACCGCGAGAGAGGAGACAGAAACGGTGGGTATCATCATATACAGTCTGTCCAAGATAAGGTTGAACAGCATGGGGATCTCGGAAACGGTAGGAGATACGAAGTCGGTTGAATGGGGAAAAAGTTGCGCATTCGGAGGCTCATATCAAGAGCCTTCGAAAATTCTGAAAATTATTTTTAGTTTTTGAGTTATATCGAAAAAAGTGAATTTTTGGAATTTCTATTTTATTTTTTTTTCTCCGTTATTATTAGAGATACAGCAAAACTGAGAATTCTTTTTCATTGCAAACTTTTGATGAGGTTTAACGTGGTGATACCGATTTTTTTATGCGACGTTTCGTATTCGTGGAACCATCATCAACTTTTGTTTTTTAAATACGGTCCTGATAATTTTTTCACAGATTCTGAAAGGTTTTTTTATTTCGAATTCAACCATATACTATACAAGGTGATTCTAATGTGTTTCGACCTATTTCTATCCATCATCAATGTTTTTTCGAACTTCCAAAAGAAAAAAAGCCATCAGTTCCACTTATTTCTGATCATTTAGTGTCAAACTTGATGGATTAGTTATTCAATACTGAAAAGTGAATAAAAAATATTTCACTACATCATTCGATCAATGCAGCGTTTAAAATTGTTGATGAATTCTTACACGAATTACTTTAACAACTTAACTTTGACAATACCTACAGAGACATTCATAACAAATGTTCAAAATGATAACCATTATTTTCTGAACAAAGATATCCTCTTCTCACAGTTGCTTCTAAGACATTGCTAAGCATTTCTGGGGTTACTATTGAATGCTTCGAAGACACTGTCTTAGTTCTTCTTCATCATCAAAGTTATTTGCGTGTACAAAGTTCGATATATCCCCTAAGAAAAAATCCAGCTGTGTCAAATCAGGCGACCGCGCCGGCCAAGGGATAAAAACGCACGGACTTCTCTGGAATTATGTACCGGAGCGCCATCTTGTTGAAACCAACAGAGTTCTGAACTTCCGCAATCAGTAAATCATCCAGAGCTTCCTCAAGATGATTCTCAAGCGAATTTCTATAACGTTCGGAAGTCTGTGTTTCATGGTAAATAGAAGGAACAATAATTCGTGTACCAAATATTGCAACCCACATAAAAGCCGAAACGGTGTTGGTGTCTCGCTGTAATGTATAAATGTTCATTTTCTCGTGAACAATAATGTGTATTTTTTCTATCGAAGCTACCATGATTAGTGACCATGCTTTTATCAGTCCAGATGATTGTTCGAGAGAAATATGCAAAATTTCAACATTTCCTGGTATACCACTCACAGAATGTCTTGCGCCTTTCGTCATCGATTCGTTTTAGCGCTTGACATATTCTGAATTTGTATGGATGGAATTTTTGTTTCCGCAAAATGAAATGGGTTGTTGATTGAAACCAGTTGATGAGGTATTAGTGTGTTGACTAATTTTCCTTCAAAATAAGTGGAACTGATGGCATTTTTCCTTTGGAGTTTCGAAAAAACATTGATGATGACCAAAAATAGGTCGAAACACAAATGAACCACCTTGTATAATACATGGTTGAATTCAGAATAAAAAAAACTTTTAGAATCTGTGAAAAAATTATCAGGACCGTATTTAAAAAACAAAAGTTGATGATGGTTCCACGAATACGAAACGTCGCATGAAAAAATCGGTATCACCACGTTGACCGTCATCAAAAGTTGCTATGAAAACGTATTCTCAGTTTTGCTGTATCTCTAATAATAACGGAGAAAAAAAATAAAATAGAAATTCCAAAAATTCACTTTTTTCGATATAACTCAAAAACTAAAAATAATTTTCAAAATTTTCGAAGGCTCTTGATATGAGCCTCCGAATGCGCAACTTTTTCCATATTTAACCGATTTCGTATGTCTTACCGTTTTCGAGATCCCCATGCTGTTCAACCTTATCTTGGACAGACTGTATAATACCACAAGTGATAATATTTTGCCGGAAATATTCGGTGATTGTTACGACAGCTTGTTGCCTAGTAATTTCGTGAATGACATTGTTATCAAAACTACGAGCCGTAGGCGAGTAATTTTGGATCAATGTCATGAGCGAAATTAGAGCAGCAAGCTGGAGTAAGTCAATCGACGAATATTTCCAGGAAAAATAGTATCACGAGTTGTATTCGTATGACTATTTCATGATTGAATGAGACAATATATATAAGAAATAGGAAACATAATTTAAGTATATTCCAACTCCAACTGCGAAGAAGAACATAATGATAGTAATGAAATACAGAATTTACCTTTTTAGAAATTAACTACCTACTTATAGTTATTCACAAAGTGGAATGTACAATTTTGATAATGAGTATTTTTTTATTATCTTGGAGATGGTTGCTCTCAAAAGAGTGTATACAATTACTATCCAATTCAAACAAAATGAATTGAATTTATGTGACATGGAATAATTAAAAAAAAAAAGATATCGTCGCCGAGGGCTCGAACCATCGACCTTCGTATCCTCGCGCAACAACCCTAACAGTTGCGCTACATCAGCTAGTAATATACATTAGTCAGTCACAATAACTTGAGTAATTGAAGAAGATTACTTCAATAAGGAATTTGAATTCTTTTATTGTTGTGTCAGATCGTGCAAACTTTTTAAATTACACATGAAACGTCCAGCCAGAATAAAATTGTCTCGCCTTTCGTACAAAATATCTCACTAACGCGAATTATAAGTAAATAAAATAAAGTAGGAACTTAGGTTATTGTCTCAGATTTAAATCCAAAGCAATCTTGACCAGACACAATGTCAAAATTGTATCGCTGATAAAGGAGGTTAGTTGGTCACGTGTGGGTCAATTCGGCTTCTGTATTGGTAGAGCAAGTCCGATAAATTTGATAAACAAAAAATATCGCTAGAATACAGAAGAAACCATGAAAATGGTCGATTCTGATTGGTTCTCGAGATCAAGAGTGGAATAGTCAGTAGTAAATACGTGGTAATACTATAGGTCTGTTCCAGTGGCGTAATTAAGGGAGGGGTCCATGGGGTCTGGACCCCCTCCAGAGCTGTCTAAAAAACAGAAACAATCTGGTGAACAATTCTAATAACGTAAAAATAGACATGAGTACGGGAAATTTCATGTGAATATGAATATATTTTGTTATTGTTACAAAATGATGCACACATTTATTGAAATCAACGTCAAGTTACGTTTTCTGAATAATGGAACCTAGACCAATAGTTGTCTCTGTTCATAGCATGATGTAAACAGAGAAAGTCATAGAAAAAAATCAAGTTGAGTAGATGGAGCAAACACAAACGAACAGGCCTCATAAGTACTTCGAAATATTCGGGTTATACATCGATAGCTTATTGCATAATTACAAAGAATGTGCGGACGAAACCGACCGAGAGAGAAAAAGAGATACAGAACCGGTGGGGAGACAGAACCAGTAGTAATACTATGAGTACTTCAAAATATGGTTATACATCGATAACTTCTTATTTTTTATGTTCTGGTTTCCACGAAAAGGGATATCCTGTAATGTTCAGAGAACATCGTGAGAACCAAGAGAAATGAGGTAGGAGTTGGTGTTCTTCTTGAATTTCTGGAGGTTATATGCCTCGGGGAACACCTCTCTTGGCAATGTGTTCTAGAGCCTCGCTGTTCGTTGGATGAACGAGTCTTTGGAAAGAGATGTTCTGCAGGTCTCCAAAGTGACCACGAAGGGGTGCGAAGCCTCAACTCTACGAGTTAATCTCGCGGGGATTGCCAAGGGAAGAACAATTGTTTATATTTCAGAAGAGCATCGTCTATGAAAATATCTATAAAATAGAGCCAGATCTCCAACTTTTCTACGGTGTTCCAGAGAAGTGAGTGAGTTTGATCACTCACGCCCTTTTTTGGACATTTCCAAGACAGGTCGGATCTGTGCCTAGATCATAAGCAGCTGACTCGAACGTGAAATAGCTCCTAGCCCGAAACAGAAAACCAAGCTTTTGAGATGCACTTTTAGCAATTGATCTCACGTGATTTTACCAAGAAAGGTTATTGCTGATAGTAATACCAAGCATCGAAATGGATGTCTTCAAAGGTATGGTTACTCCTGACAAGCTTATGTTGGGCACAGTGAGATCGGCTTTTCTAGAGAAAAGGCATGCTTGTGTTCTGTTTGCATTGAAATCTACCAAGTAATTCGATCCCCATTCGAGAATTGTTGCCAAGTCCATATTTATGATGTCAACATTTCTTCTTCGTTCGTTTCTGATTTGCCTGGCTGGTACTGGAGCCCTGGAAGAGAAGGCGGTATGGAGGGTACTATCATCCGCGGAGCTCTGTACTGGATATGAAGTTGCTTCCAACAAATCGTTGATATGAAGTAGAAATAGTGTTGGTGCTAGAATTGATCCTTGTGGAACACCAGCATTTATGATAAGAGAGTCAGATGTAACTCCGTCGACCACTACATGAAGAGACCTGTTTGAGAGGAAACTAAATCATACATAGCAGCAAAGGAACCATTTCAAAACAATGTACGTTCATATAGTTCCACAAACGGCTCCTTTGGCGCTGCGATCTTAAATTCAGACTCCTATATGGCGGTGTTACCGAGCAATTGGATCTTGTTGATTTCTGACAGAATTACTATCGATAGTATTGCGAGCAGTAATGATATTACCCCTGACAATTCCCTGATAAATAACCATTTTGGAAATGTCATATTCGGAAGTGACGTATGGTTCGGTTATTTTGCCTACTGTGTCGAGACCGCGAAGTATACTCTCTTCGCGTGCAGGAGAAAATAGTTTTACTGCGAAAATGAATTCACTTACGTTTGTTTTTTTTATCTTTCAGGTGATCCGTTCCACGCTGAAGGAGATCATGATGTCCGTGGACTTGGACGAGGTGACCAGCAAGACGATCAGGAGCAAACTGGAAGAGGAGCTCGACATGGACCTGGGCGAGTACAAGTCCTTCATCGATCAGGAGATGCTGGTCATCCTCGGCCAGATGGACGCCCCCACCGAGATATTCGAGCACGTCTATTTGGGCTCCGAGTGGAACGCCTCGAACTACGACGAGTTGCAGAAGAACCGGTAAGATGTGCTGCCCTGCTGAGCAAACTCCCTCGATATCGATATCTAGCCGAAAATGAGTTAGAACATAGTCTAATCTTTTAAGAACCAGTTATGTCAAATCGACTCGAGGCGTCTCTATTTTGGATGCGCAGAACCGTTACCATCGAGACAATATGGCCAGAGCTCTGTGACGTTGTAATGCCCCCAACTTTCTTCGTTCGTTGGCCTACTACAGGGGGTCGTTACAAAGTAATTTTTTCCGATCAATGGGTTCGTTGATTATTGAGGCAGGAGGCAGACTGGGATTGTAGACATTAAGACAACATATAGATAGTTACTGAGACATATATTCAGGCAGTATGGTCAGGCTTACATTTTAGATTGCACATTTTTGGTACACTGTTCACTTGTTTTCAATTGGCGAGAGATTCACTTCACTTTTACGTCTTAGTCACAAAAGTTCCAGTATACAATAAATCTACCTGAGTGGTTACTTACACAGGTATTATTAACGAAGTTCACTGGTACTGTTCGAACGTAGCATGTTTGATAGACAGATACAAAGTCGGCTGGATACGTTTTTGGCGGCCATAAAATTTAAAAGTGACAGTGACAGAAATTCGAAATAATTAAAAAAAGCGGGCGGGACGACTATGGTGTTTCGTCACATTGTCAGGTGGGCAAACCAAATGAAACAAAATATTAAAAACCCCAACGGCTGTCAGTTTTGTGTCCGGTATATACAGGGACTCTAGTTGTAACAACCGCAGAAGGCAGATTTTTGATAGAAAGTCTTTTACGGTCTACAAAAAAAACTTTAAACAAAATTTCTTAATATAAATCTGTAAAGATCCAAATCGAAGGATATTTTGTTGTTGTTCCAATGATGTTTTAGACATTTGAAACCTGAAATTCAAACATGTTGATATGCACAGCTGAGTAACACCAATAATGTCATACATATTTTCATTTATATAAAAGATTAAATAACCTGCAATCGCAATTTTTGTTTCAGAGTGGGTCACATATTGAATGTGACCAGAGAGATCGACAATTTCTTTCCGGGAACGTTCGACTACCTCAACGTGCGAGTATACGACGACGAAAAAACCGACCTGCTCAAACATTGGGACGACACATACAAATACATCACAAAAGCCAAAGACAAGGTGAGATTTCGAAATGTAATTATAAAATGATTCTAGCTATGGTGGTCAATTCGAACCTCTTTATTCTTCTTCATAAATTACCCTAGATTACTTTTGAATGTTTTTTCTATATATAATGGTTTAGTCTTTGCAAAGTCACTTGAGACAACGAAACAAATTTTTATCGGAGAATAATATTCAGAAAGCTATATTCAAAAGATTCTTGGATTGTTCATACAGAAACGGTTAAGATTACCTATATATCTATGTTGGTACATGGGAGGTGAGAGGAATGAAAAATATAACTGCCAGATCTCTGAAGATCTGCGGCAAACGGAATATTGGTGAGTTTCCAGACCACCCATATTAGGTATTACCACGGCCCTTTACTTATCTCAGTGAGTATTCGCCAATATGTAATCTCAAATAGGTACATCAGCCCTATCGTCTCACACATAAAAAAAACATGGAATAAAAATCCTCAACAAAGCTAATAGTATTCTAAAAGTATTTTGAATTAGTAAATTCCTTGTATCATCTTAAAAAAGGGAAGTGTCTCAACTGACTTTGTGAAGTCTAGTGCTACATCTTGATTCTGTGAAAAATATGTATCTTTTGAAATAAAATCGGAAGTCGAGTGATAACTCTTTTGAAATGCCTTTCAATAAGACATCAGAATTTCAGGCAAAAATATTCCTCCATCATAAAAATAGCTGCTGCCGTGTAATCTTGAACCTCGTCTTCAACTCTCAAAAGTTATCTATTCAGAAAAATCTCCAAAAACAATAGTCCACAGATGGTTCAATTTTAAGAGCGTTCATTGAAGATATAAAGTCAATTTATATTGTGTATTCTGTTGGAAGGGTTCCAAGGTGCTGGTGCACTGCAAGATGGGTGTCAGCCGGTCGGCTTCGGTGGTCATCGCCTACGCGATGAAGGCCTACAACTGGGACTTCGACACCGCCCTGCGGCACGTGAAGGAGAAGCGGACCTGCATCAAGCCGAACACCAGCTTCCTGCTGCAGCTGGAGACCTACCAGGGCATACTGGACGCGATGAAGAACAGGGAGAAGCTGCAGCGGTCCAAGTCGGAGACCAATTTGAAGTCGCCGGGGACCGGCAGCGAGAAGACCGATAAGGCTGTGGTGAGTTTATGATTTTTAGGGTTTTCGTGGTTTATTTATTCCTAGTTGACTGACAGTGTATTAATCAAATTCGGTGTTTTCATTGGCTGCATTTTCCTTAATAGATAAATAGGTCCACCTCATAGGAAAAAGCTTGCAGTTTGAGCAACACTATGAACAGACACATCTTTGCAGTTTTGCGTTCCGTTTCCATTCGGTCGTTCGAATTCAAATAGAAAAGTTCGGTGAGGGAGAAACATGTCCTCCTCATCTGCCCTTGTCTTCAGTGTTCCAACGTGAAATAATGAAAATTTTATGTTGGCAACACTGAAAATGAGAAGAAATAGAGAAGACCATTCTAAACTTTTTCATATCAAGGTTAATATGATCTACTTCTCCATTTTTTCTCATTTCCAATGTTGCTAACATAAAATTTCCATTATTTTACGTTGGAACACTAAAGACAAGAACAAGGACATATGTTTCTCCCTTAACGCTAGCTGAACTTATCTATTCGAATCCGAACGACCGAATGGAAACGGAACGCAAAACTGCAAATATGTGTCTGTTCATAGTGTTGCTTGAACTGCTGAAGTTGATTAGTTTTCATTTTACAAGCTTTTTTCTATTAGGTGGACCACTGAAGACAAGGACAGATGAGGAATACTAGAGTGACTTTATAAATAGAGTGACAATAGACATCCAAATGGCTGCCATTTCCGGAATGTCAACTCACTGAATAGCCAAAAATCTCCCATGCATTAATGAATTTGCGCCTTTGAAGTGCCCACCGATGTTAGGTTCAGATATTTGATATTCTTATTTCATAATCTGAATAATCTGAGACGGATTCTAATAGTTATTATCCAAGGTACTGACGTCTTTCATGTCTGATTGTTAGATGTTTTGTGTCCAAAGAGCAAAAAACAAAGACAGAGCATTGACAAAGTGAAATTGAATGCGTAGAATTGAATCGAGAAGATGTCTCAAACTTGATATTAAAATTGCAAACATGATTCTCTACTCTCATATACTGAGTCGTATCAACTATTTAATAAATATTTGGGGAACTTGTTCAAAGAACAATTTCAATAAAATATCAACATTATATAGAGAATTGTTGAAAGTATTGTATCGTCTCCCATTTGATACACCAACCAATCAATTGTTTGAAATAACAAATTCGTATTCTTTAGATGAAATATATAGAATTGAAACTAGACAATATATTAACTTGTTTCATCTTGACGCAGCTAGCTCCATTATCGGACAAAAAAGATTCACTCATTCAGCCTTAACTGAATTCTATAATCTACCTGACAATATAAAAAATTGCAGAAATATAGGTTCATTCAAAAATGAAGTGAAAAAATTGATTATTTCTGAGCGAACTGGATAAAATTGAACATGCCATTTTTTGTTTTTTTTTTACAAATATTATTCTTTGTTTGTCAATTTACCGTTGTTGATATATTTTGTATAATGATATGTTTACTTATAGGTATATAATTATGTACTTCCGTATACCAGAGCCTATTCTGTCTGGAAGTTATTTGTTCAATAAATAAAAATAAATAAATAAAATAAAAAACAGATGGATGGTGGATGCACCTCTCTCGAATACTATGAATAGAAGAGGACGAGACATGCTCGCAACTTCGATGTTGTGATAGTGGTAGCGAATGCGAATTATGCGAATACAACCGAGTACTTAAGATAATCAAATACAAATATTCTTTGTACTCAAGTACCCTATCACTACCTGTGTTACCCAACTTGATGGATACTTTTGACCATGGTGAACACTATCAACTTTCTTTTTTTTAAATTATTGAGATTATTTCCCTGTTTCTATTAACACCAAGGTGTTTTTGGAAACTTACTCTGGTTGTTAACAAGATCCAGAGAGGTCACGTGACAAAAAACTTATCACCTACTTACTTGTGTTCAACATCTACGAACATGTCAGGTTAGAAACATATGCAGAATGTAATCTTTTTTCAGTGGTTTCGGGAAATTGATATACGAAAATGTTCACATTATATTCAAGTACTTATTCGATATGGCGATTTTGAGTAGGGTTACGAAAAATCAACCCGAGTCAGTGATCGACTTGGCAACAAACAAATTTCTAAACACAATGGAAGAATGGCTATACTCCAATCTTCGTTCCCTCGATTCTAATAAGACCCAATATATAATTTTTCATCAAAGAAATAAACAAAATATTGATTTGAATATTAGAATGAAAAATGGAAGATTGACACAAACTGCCTATACCAAATACCTTGGTATTTGGATTAATGATAAGTTAACATGGGACAAGCATATTGGCATGCTCAAAGAAAAAATTCCTCCCATAGTTGGTGCCCTAAGAAATTGTCCAAAATTTATCCCAAATATAGCAAATACCGTTCTTTACTCTCACATCCTTAGTAAAATGAGCTATCTCATAAATATTTGGGGTTCATGTTCCAAGTATAATTTTAACAAAATATCTGTACTATATAAAAAAGCATTAAAAGTTCTGTATCGTCTTCCATATGACACCCCATCAAATCAACTTTATGAAGAAACAAATACATTACCTGATATCAAAAGTTGCACAAATATCACTCAATTCAAAATAGGAGTCAAGAAACATATCCTCTTGCAAAGAGAAAATCGAACCCGAGTGAATGATTTCTCATTCACTAATTCATTTCATCATGTCATAATGTACTTTTCATGAGCTTTTTGTTTTATTACTATTATTTTTGCATATGTTGTTTATTTCAATAACTTAGATTTAATAACGCATGAATAATCTCATATCAGATATGAATCTGTCTGATTATTCATGTTTTTTCATTGTAAATGTTAATGAAATATATTTATATATATGATGCAATGTAATGTTTATAGCAAAGGTAGATGACTCGGTTCAGGTAACCGAACGATCAGGTTAGGGATCAACCCGAGTAAGTTTCCGAAAACGCCTACAGTACCAGCACTTGTTCAATATAACCTATGTTCCTTTCAGACGAGCGAGCCACCACCGACCGTCGAACCCTTCGCCGACCCCGCCGCCCACCTGTCCGGCCAGGACCTGCGCCAACTGGGCGGCCGCCCGAAATCCTGGTCGCCGGACAACCTGCGCACGCGCGAACTCAAATCCACCTCGCCGCCGCTCTCCGTCTCCCTCGAGGACCTCAACCGGAAGTCGCCCGACGATAAGTCGAGGGAGGGGCGAGCGCCAGCTCCGCCCCCTGCCAACGCCCCGCCCCTCGCCAGGCACGTGCTGATGCCGTGCGACAACGGCGAGTCGTACAGCGTGTCGCCCAATCAGATCGTGCATCTGCCCGGGCACGATTCGGGCGGGGCGGGAGGCGGGGGTGGGGAAACGGGGAGGAGGAGGAAGCTGGTACTGAATTTGGCGACGCGGTTCGAGAAGGCAGAGGAGGCTAAGGAGGAGACTTGGGATCCGGGCGAGGAGGCGGAGGGGAAGAGGAAGAAGTGCTCGATGAAGTGAGTTTATTGACTGGCTTCAGACAGATAGTATTTTAGTTTTTTGTTGGATGTAAGGAATGAATTACGAAATGTTATGAGGTTGTAGGTAGGTATATATTACACCTTCTCCAGATGTATTTCAGAAAGCGTCAATTGTATTTCAGAATAGTCAATTGAATTTCATTTGTATTTCATTTAATATCAATTGAAATTCAAAGGACGATTTCTCGAGTTTAATTGGCCATTCTGAAATACAATTGACGCTTTCTGAGTTTCAATTGACTATTGACTACTTCCAATTTTGCTCTTACGTATTTTGATTTCTATAGCCTTTCCGGCGGTAATTAATTTTCAAACCGAGGTAATATCACGTGTACGTAATTCAAATTCAGCTTTAGGCTCATCTTTAGGGCTTCAAGTACACTGACTTCACGAGACTATTTCTTCGGCGAACTTTAGGTATGTACATCTCAGGGTACATCTATCGGCGAACGAAGTAACTTCCATATATGTGTGTTGTGTCTTGTCACTTTCAATATATTGGGAGTTGAGGTATTTCGAACTGAACACATTCCAAATCTAAATAAAAACAACACATAGGGACAACTTACTGCAATGAATGATTGGACATAAATAAAGAGTAGTCGCCCCTCTCCACTTTATCTCGCTGTTACGTCATTCAGTGCAGTTTATTCCCTACTATTTCCGACATATTGCCGAATATTTCATATCTATTGCCGTCTATTGCCTGATAATTCCGACTTAATGCCGCCTATTTCTGCATTTCTTCTTCAATGCCCGCTATTGCCATTTAGTGCTTTTCGAATAGTGACGATAATTTATGTAGATGGACAAATGTTGAACTTTTGAATTGACTCGGCCGTTACTTGATGGAAATCCATGGCAAATGTGAAAAATTCACAAACGATAAGATAGGAAAATTTAAGCAAGCCAAGGTTAATTTAGTTCATTGTACCAGTATATCACCTGACGAAGCTACTGTGTTAGCGAAACATGTCGTGTGTTTGAGAATTTTGTGGAAATCTAATGATTGAATTGATTGAATCAAGCCCTGACATCATTTTTTCGTGATCTTCTGTTTCATCCAGTTCATAATCAATAAAAGGGATATATTTCGACTTGGTGTATTTCTAGGAATTCCCCAGTCCAGTCCTATATCTTCCTAACACTTCTTGTAGATCTTCCTTGAAGATGCCAATACATTTTTCCTTTTTCTTCAGGGAGCCTGAGAGCAACACTGAAAGCGATACCTGTGATTCAAAAGACAATAGTGCTACCTGCGTGTGGACATCTTCTACGACGCTGAAGACAGAGAGTGCTGTGCCGTTTAGTGATAGTTTAGTGAAAGTTCCTGAGGCTGCTCGACCGAGAACGGCCTGCGATCCGTTCTCCAATCAGCTGGACAGGGTGTTCGACCGCGAAGAGAAGAGACAGAACCGCACCACCATCTCTTCCAGTTGCCCGCCGGATTTGACGAGCAGGTGAGCCTTTTTCGATTAGTTTATGATTTATGATGATTCTCATTGATATCGACGTTCCTGAGCGACATGGTTGTCGAACCACCACAGGTGAGCAGAAGTATTAGTACTATCAATTGAATGCCGAACTAACCTACTGAACAACTTATAGTTCACCTTGTTGGTTTACACCTCGCAGAGCTATCACCTTGGGAAAGCATGTCACCTCGGAATTCGGCAAAGAAGGTTCATTTTTGATGTACCTAATGCTGCACCAGCATGTATATCCCACGACCAGAAAAACATGATGGGAATTTCTAACACATTAATTACAATTTTTTACATCATACCTCAATTTTTTTACAATCATGGATTCACGGGAAATTGGTAGTGGTGCAGCTTTAGACTAAAGGTGCACCACGCCAACCGAATTTTGAAAATTTCTTGGATTTTGGTCGTCCTGTACCCATCATAATTTCTAACAAATTAATTACAAGTGTTTAAACATACAAACAACCCCAAAACCAACCCCCCAACTCATTGGAATGATGGTATAAGTATCCAGACTCATATAATTCGATAATTACCACTCGAGTAAGAAGGAGAAAAAAGTATAATAGGTATGAGTACCTCATACTCCTGATAGTAATTTGATATATCTCATAGTTTTCTTCCAACCATTGGACTTTAAGCCCATTTACTTTTCTTGAATTACCTTTTTTTAATATACTTACGCGTATGAAAAATACCGGGTTATACCGGGGATAATATGAATGGATTTCAGTCTCCTTCATGAAAAAAGTATTTTCTCCTGTTTTCATCCACGTTGGAATTTATTACACTGCCCCACACAAACAGAAATGTATTCTGATGTAGAGAGAAACAAATTCTAAGAGATTTTGTTTGAACAATAATTTCTTACACCATCCAATATGAATGAATTCCAGTCTTCTTCATGAAAAAAGTATATTCCCGTGTTTTCATCCACGTTGGAATTTATTACACTGCCCCACACAAACATTAGTATATTCAGATGGAGTGAAAACCATATGATAAGAGTTCTCGTTCGAAAAATAATTTCTTACACTACCCCACATGAATGGATATGAGTCTACTACATGAAAAATATTTATTCTCGTGGTTTCACCCACGTTGGAATTTATTACACTGCCCCACACAAACACAAATATATTCTGATGTAGATAAAACATATCAGGTATTAGAGATTTCATTCGAATAATAATTTATTACACCACCCCACATGAACGAATTTTGGTCTACTTAATGAAAAAAGTATATTCTCGTGTTTTCAGTTACGTTAGAATTTATTACACTGTCCCACACAAACATAAGTATATTCAGATGAAATAAAAACCATATTACAAGTGATCTCGTTCGAAAAATAATTTCTTACACCACTCCACATGAATGGATTTTAGTCTCCTTCATGGAAAATGTAAATTCTCGTGTTTTCATCCACGTTGGAATTTATTACACTGCCCCACACAAACAGAAATATATTCTGATGTAGAGAGAAACATATTCTAAGAGATTTTGTTTGAACAATAATTTCTTACACCACCCCACATGAATGAATTCCAGTCTTCTTCATGAAAAAAGTATATTCTCGTGTTTTCAGTCACGTAAGAATTTATTACACTGTCCCACACAAACATAAGAATATTCAGATGAAATAAAAACCATATTATAAGAGATCTCGTTCGAAAAATAATTTCTTACACCACTCCACATGAATGGATTTTAGTCTACTTCATGAAAAAAGTATATTCTCGTGTTTTCACCCACGTTGGAATTTATTACACTGCCCCACACAAACAGAAATATATTCTGATGTAGAGAGGAACATATTCTAAGAGATTTTGTTCGAACAATAATTTCTTACACCACCCCACATGAATGAATTCCAGTCTTCTTCATGAAAAAAGTATGCACTCATTTTTTCGGTCACGTTAGAATTCATTACACTGCCCCACACAAACATAAGTATATTCAGATGGAGTGAAAACCATATGATAAGAGATCTTGTTCGAAAAATAATTTCTCACACCACCCCACATGAATGGATATGAGTCTACTACATGAAAAATATATATTCTCGTGTTTTCACCCACGTTGGAATTTATTACACTGCCCCACACAAACATAAGAATATTCAGATGAAGTAAAAACCATATTATAAGAGATTTCGCTCGAAAAATAATTTCTTACACCACCCCACATGAGTGGATTTCAGTCTCCTTCATGAAAAAAGTATATTCTCGTGTTTTCATCCACGTTGGAATTTATTACACTGTCCCACACAAACATAAGTATATTCAGATGAAGTAAAAACCATATTATAAGAGATCTCGTTCGAAAAATAATTTCTTACACCACCCCACATGAATGGATTTCAGTCTCCTTCATGAAAAAAGTATATTCTCGTGTTTTCATCCACGTTGGAATTTATTACACTGCCCCACACGAACAGAAATATATTCTGATGTAGAGAGAAACATATTCTAAGAGATTTTGTTTGAACAATAATTTCTTACACCACCCCACATGAATGAATTCCAGTCTTCTTCATGAAAAAAGGATATTCACGTGTTTTCAGTCACGTTAGAATTTATTACACTGTCCCACACAAACATGAGAATATTCAGATGAAGTAAAAACCATATTATAAGAGATCTCGTTCGAAAAATAATTTCTTACACCACCCCACATGAATGAATTCCAGTCTTCTTCATGAAAAAAGTATGCACTCATTTTTTCGGTCACGTTAGAATTCATTACACTGCCCCACACAAACATAAGTATATTCAGATGGAGTGAAAACCATATGATAAGAGATCTCGTTCGAAAAATAATTTCTCACACCACCCCACATGAATGGATATGAGTCTACTACATGAAAAATATATATTCTCGTGGTTTCATCCACGTTGGAATTTATTACACTGCCCCACACAAACATAAGTATATTCATATGAAGTAAAAACCATATTATAAGAGATCTCGCTCGAAAAATAATTTCTTACACCACCCCACATGAATGAATTTCAGTCTCCTTCATGAAAAAAGTATTTTCTCGTGTTTTCATCCACGTTGGAATTTATAACACTGTCCCACACAGACATAAGTATATTCAGATGAAGTTAAAACCATATTATAAGAGATCTCGTTCGAAAAATAATTTCTTACACCACCCCACATGAATGGATTTCAGTCTCCTTCATGAAAAAAGTATATTCTCGTGTTTTCATCCACGTTGGAATTTATTACACTGCCCCACACGAACAGAAATATATTCTGATGTAGAGAGAAACATATTCTAAGAGATTTTGTTTGAACAATAATTTCTTACACCACCCCACATGAATGAATTCCAGTCTTCTTCATGTAAAAAGGATATTCTCGTGTTTTCAGTCACGTTAGAATTTATTACACTGTCCCACACAAACATGAGAATATTCAGATGAAGTAAAAACCATATTATAAGAGATCTCGTTCGAAAAATAATTTCTTACACCACCCCCACATGAATGAATTCCAGTCTTCTTCATGAAAAAAGTATGCACTCATTTTTTCGGTCACGTTAGAATTCATTACACTGCCCCACACAAACATAAGTATATTCAGATGGAGTGAAAACCATATGATAAGAGATCTCGTTCGAAAAATAATTTCTTACACCACCCCACATAAATGAATTCCAGTCTTCTTCATGAAAAAAGTATATTCTCGTGTTTTCAGTCACGTAAGAATTTATTACACTGTCCCACACAAACATAAGAATATTCAGATGAAGTAAAAACCATATTATAAGAGATCTCGCTCGAAAAATAATTTCTTACACCACCCCACATGAATGGATTTTAGTCTACTTCATAAAAAAAGTATATTCTCGTGTTTTCACCCACGTTGGAATTTATTACACTGCCCCACACATACAAAAATATATTCTGATGTAGAGAGGAACACATTCTAAGAGATTTTGTTCGAACAATAATTTCTCACACCACCCCACATGAATGAATTCCAGTCTTCTTCATGAAAAAAGGATATTCTCGTGTTTTCAGTCACGTTAGAATTTATTACACTGTCCCACACAAACATAAGAATATTCAGATGAAGTAAAAACCATATTATAAGAGATCTCGTCAGGAAAATAAATTTTTAAACCACCCCACATGAATGGATTTTAGTCTACTTCATAAAAAAAGTATATTCTCGTGTTTTCACCCACGTTGGAATTTATTACACTGCCCCACACAAACAAAATTGTATTCTGATGTAGAGAGAAACATATTCTAAGAGATTTTGTTTGAAAACACGAGAATATATATTTTTCATGTAGTAGACTCATATCCATTCATGTGGAGTGGTGTAAGAAATTATTTTTCGAACAAGATCTCTTATCATATGGTTTTCACTCCATCTGAATATACTTATGTTTGTGTGGGGCAGTGTAATGAATTCTAACGTGACCGAAAAAATGAGTGCATACTTTTTTCATGAAGAAGACTGGAATTCATTCATGTGGGGGTGGTGTAAGAAATTATTTTTCGAACGAGATCTCTTATAATATGGTTTTTACTTCATCTGAATATTCTCATGTTTGTGTGGGACAGTGTAATAAATTCTAACGTGACTGAAAACACGAGAATATCCTTTTTACATGAAGAAGACTGGAATTCATTCATGTGGGGTGGTGTAAGAAATTATTGTTCAAACAAAATCTCTTAGAATATGTTTCTCTCTACATCAGAATATATTTCTGTTTGTGTGGGGCAGTGTAATAAATTCCAACGTGGATGAAAACACGAGAATATACTTTTTTCATGAAGGAGACTGAAATCCATTCATGTGGGGTGGTGTAAGAAATTATTTTTCGAACGAGATCTCTTATAATATGGTTTTTACTTCATCTGAATATTTTTATGTTTGCGTGGGGCAGTGTAATACATTCCTACGTGGGTGAAACCACGAGAATATATATTTTTCATGTAGTAGACTTATATCCATTCCTGTGGGGTGGTGTAAGAAATTATTTTTCGAACGAGATCTCTTATCATATGGTTTTAACTCCATCTGAATATAATTATGTTTGTGTGGGGCAGTGTAATGAATTCTAACGTGACCGAAAAAATGAGTGCATACTTTTTTCATGAAGAAGACTGGAATTCATTCATGTGGGGTGGTGTAAGAAATTATTTTTCGAACGAGATCTCTTATAATATGGTTTTTACTTCATCTGAATATTCTTTTGTTTGTGTGGGACAGTGTAATAAATTCCTACGTGACTGAAAACACGAGAATATACTTTTTTCATGAAATAGACTAAAATCCATTCATGTGGAGTGGTGTAAGAAATTATTTTTCGAACGAGATCTCTTATAATATGGTTTTTATTTCATCTGAATATTCTTATGTTTGTGTGGGACAGTTTAATAAATTCTTACGTGACTGAAAACAAGAGAATATGCTTTTTTCATGAAGAAGACTGAAATTCATTCATGTGGGGTGGTGTAAGAAATTAGTGTTCAAACAAAATCTCTCAGAATATGTTTCTCTCTACATCAGAATATATTTCTGTTTGTGTGGGGCAGTGTAATAAATTCCAACGTGGATGAAAACACGAGAATATACATTTTCCATGAAGGAGACTAAAATCCATTCATGTGGAGTGGTGTAAGAAATTATTTTTCGAACGAGATCACTTGTAATATGGTTTTTATTTCATCTGAATATACTTATGTTTGTGTGGGACAGTGTAATAAATTCTAACGTAACTGAAAACACGAGAATATACTTTTTTCATTAAGTAGACTAAAATTCGTTCATGTGGGGTGGTGTAACAAATTATTATTCGAATGAAATCTCTAATACCTGATATGTTTTATCTACATCAGAATATATTTCGGTTTGTGTGGGGCAGTGTAATGAATTCCAACGTGGATGAAAACACGAGAATATACATTTTCCATGAAGGAGACTAAAATCCATTCATGTGGAGTGGTGTAAGACATTATTTTTCGAACGAGATCACTTGTAATATGGTTTTTATTTCATCTGAATATACTTATGTTTGTGTGGGACAGTGTAATAAATTCTTACGTGACTGAAAACAAGAGAATATACTTTTTTCATGAAGAACACTGAAATTCATTCATGTGGGGTGGTGTAAGAAATTAGTGTTCAAACAAAATCTCTTAGAATATGTTTCTCTCTACATCAGAATATATTTCTGTTTGTGTGGGGCAGTGTAATAAATTCCAACGTGGATGAAAACACGAGAATATACATTTTCCATGAAGGAGACTAGAATCCATTCATGTGGAGTGGTGTAAGAAATTATTTTTCGAACGAGATCACTTGTAATATGGTTTTTATTTCATCTGAATATACTTATGTTTGTGTGGGACAGTGTAATAAATTCTAACGTAACTGAAAACACGAGAATATACTTTTTTCATTAAGTAGACTAAAATTCGTTCATGTGGGGTGGTGTAATAAATTATTATTCGAATGAAATCTCTAATACCTGATATGTTTTATCTACATCAGAATATATTTCTGTTTGTGTGGGGCAGTGTAATAAATTCCAACGTGGATGAAAACACGAGAATATACATTTTCCATGAAGGAGACTAAAATCCATTCATGTGGAGTGGTGTAAGAAATTATTTTTCGAACGAGATCACTTATAATATGGTTTTTATTTCATCTGAATATACTTATGTTTGTGTGGGACAGTGTGATAAATTCTAACGTAACTGAAAACACGAGAATATACTTTTTTCATTAAGTAGACTAAAATTCGTTCATGTGGGGTGGTGTAATAAATTATTATTCGAATGAAATCTCTAATACCTGATATGTTTTATCTACATCAGAATATATTTCTGTTTGCTGTTTGTGTGGGGCAGTGTAATAAATTCCAACGTGGGTGAAACCACGAGAATATATATTTTTCATGTAGTGGACTCATATCCATTCATGTGGGGTGGTGTAAGAAATTATTTTTCGAACGAGAACTCTTATCATATGGTTTTCACTCCATCTGAATATACTCATGTTTGTGTGGGGCAGTGTAATAAATTCCAACGTGGATGAAAACACGAGAATATACTTTTTTCATGAAGAAGACTGGAATTCATTCATATTGGATGGTGTAAGAAATTATTGTTCAAACAAAATCTCTTAGAATTTGTTTCTCTCTACATCAGAATACATTTCTGTTTGTGTGGGGCAGTGTAATAAATTCCAACGTGGATGAAAACAGGAGAAAATACTTTTTTCATGAAGGAGACTGAAATCCATTCATATTATCCCCGGTATAACCCGGTATTTTTCATACGCGTAAGTATATTAAAAAAAGGTAATTCAAGAAAAGTAAATGGGCTTAAAGTCCAATGGTTGGAAGAAAACTATGAGATATATCAAATTACTATCAGGAGTATGAGGTACTCATACCTATTATACTTTTTTCTCCTTCTTACTCGAGTGGTAATTATCGAATTATATGAGTCTGGATACTTATACCATCATTCCAATGAGTTGGGGGGTTGGTTTTGGGGTTGTTTGTATGTTTAAACACTTGTAATTAATTTGTTAGAAATTATGATGGGTACAGGACGACCAAAATCCAAGAAATTTTCAAAATTCGGTTGGCGTGGTGCACCTTTAGTCTAAAGCTGCACCACTACCAATTTCCCGTGAATCCATGATTGTAAAAAAATTGAGGTATGATGTAAAAAATTGTAATTAATGTGTTAGAAATTCCCATCATGTTTTTCTGGTCGTGGGATATACATGCTGGTGCAGCATTAGGTTCATTCAATTTTGATAGGGCAAAGTGCGTTCTCTTTGTAATTGTATCTACCTCAAAGTCTATATCGTCTCATGCGCCGCTAATTTGTTTATTTATTAATGATCAATTATTATAAACAAATTAGGTGGTTTGACATAGACTTCACGCTCTAGTAACGTCAACTGGTGAGACTGAAAATGTTAGCCCTTATTATGAAGATAATAACGCACTTTTTTCCATCAAAATCGAACTTTCTTTATTGAATTCAAGTTTGTTATTGACGTGGTCTGTAAATCTTTCAATAAATTCTTCAATTTTGTTAATAAAGCGAGTACCATTACCGACCATTTATTATTATTATTTAATTGGTGTTATTTTAACTGCTATCAAAAATGAATTTCTCTTATAATGAGCAGACTGAAACCAGTCAGAATTAATGCTGGAGGACCCCAAGTCCGAAGACCTAATACGGAAGAAGCTGTTCTTGAAATAATCAATGACAATCTCGAGATAAATCCAGATCTGTGCAGCGACAAACAGGAATTCAAAAAAACACTGTGAATCGGATCTGCAGAGAACAATCAATTCATCCATTTCTTATACAGTTTGTGCAAGAGTTATTACCACTTGACCACAGATCACGTTTGAATTCTTCACGGATTGTTCGGGAGCGCAGAATACTTGACAACAGATTTCAGATATTTTTTTTACTGATGAGTCTTGTTTTACACGTCGTGGCATGACGAACCTGTACAATGAGCATGTTAATGCTGATGAAAACCCACATGCCATTAAAGCTAGACACTATTAACAAGAATTTAAAATTAATGTTCGGATCGGATTTATCGAAACATTTTTGGTAAAGCCGATCCGATTGCCAGATCGCCTTGATGGTGCTAGTTACGAGAAATTTTACCAGATTTATAAGAGGACTTGCCCCTCAATGTACGTCGAAACATCTTCTTCATGCACGACGGTGCACCATCTCATTTTACACAGAACGAACAATTTCCTGATTGATAGATTGGTAGGGGACAAGAAGCACCTATTCAATGGCGGTCTTCAGATTTGAGTCCGTGCGAAATCTTCATTTGAGGAGCGTTAGAAACACAAGTGTATGAAGTTCAAATTGATACTTTCGAACAGCTGTGGAACAGAATACAAAATGCCGTTGACGCACTACGAGACAACGACGATGTCCTGAGGAGGGTGCATTTCAATTTTTTACGTCGAATTATTTGTATTTATGAAGATGGGCGTCATATTGAACATTTATTATGAAGAAACGTTCTGTCTTTGTTTCCACTGCCATATCACAATTTAATTTAACTTGTACTATAGGAATATCTGGTAGCCTTATTTGAGGCGGTATACGAAATTTCTACAAGTGTAATAAAATGATGGTAATTGATTAGTATTCAAGCTCAAAAAAATTCAGAATCGTATTATGACCCCTAAAAAAGTTCTGTACAAAATTTCAGGGGGTTAGGGTGGTTTTAAGCCTTCTACAATTTCTTTTAGGTTTCTTCGATTACCAAAACGAAAGTAATTCATCAACTTCGTTTCACATAATTCTGAACAGCGTACAAAAGAGTGTTTTTTATGTGAACTTTGATCCCTTCTCACTGAAAACGGTTCATTTTGGCACATTAATAAATTGGGTCCAATCAACTTATTTGGACCTCCTCTACACGTGGTAGCTCTGTGTCCCAGCAATTTTGGGACATCTTGTGGTTCCACAACCAGCCACTTTGATGCGATGATCCTTCAATTCAGTCTCCTATTTCAGAAGAGAGTCCCCGTCGAGACAGAGCTCGTGGAGCTCCTGCGACTCCGCCATAGCGCTCGGCTTCCCCGGCTCCTCCGCCTCGGAGCTGTCGCGGCACAGCTCGTGGGGCTCGGGCGACGCCCCCCGCGGCGCCCCGCCCAGTCGCAACAGTTCGTGGGGCTCGTACGACCTGCGACCGCGGCGGCGGGGACGGCACGGAGAGACGCCTGGCGGCTCGGAGGCGGGCGAGCGATCTATCTGGCCGTATGAGAAGGAGGAGATACCTTGGCATCCGGGGACTGTGCGCAGGTGAGTTTGGTTCGATTTTTGTGGCGCCCGAGCAGGGATCTCCTGCTCACCCTGGAGAGAACTGGCCTGCCGTGGAATTTTATCCCATTTGGACAGTGTCATGAAGGGTAGTCGGAGATATGTTGCTCTGCCAGATATTCATCGGAATTTCAAGGAACAAATGAATTATTCAATTATTTTGACATGATGTTTCTGTGACAAGTAGATATGTGATATACTTCCTGTGATATGGGTTTTAAGCTGTCACAGATATCTGCACTGTTAGGTAATACAAATCGAAATATGAAAATTATCAATAATTCACAAAAAATTCAATTAGCCAACTCATTTACATGTAGGTAGGTATTGATTATTTTGGAGTTTTCAATAATTGGTTGTTTCGATGAATTTATGAATTTATGAAAAAAAAGTATCTGAAGATACTCCAGGAATTCTTATTTCCACATCAAGTTTGAGAGATGAACAGACAAAGCCCATCATAATTGTTAGAATTAGAAACGATTGTACCAGGCGATACGTTATACAGGGTGTTCCGAAACTATTGTGCCGAAATGTAAGGGTGGGTAGATCCCGTCAAAACAAACGTTTTTTACTTATCAACATAGGCGCATGCGCCTTATTTCGGCACTAATAGTTATCACAAGGAAAAAGTTTAAAATATGTACATACTCAAATGATATCGATATTGAGTGCCCAGCTCTACCGATTCTAACGTTCGTGACCAATCGCCGCAGTTTAACATATGTTCATACACAAAGAATATCGATATTGAGTGCTCCGCTCTACCGATTTTGACGTTCGAGACCAATAGACGCGCTCCGGACACTCGCATTGCATAGGCTACTCATTTATTATTGCGTCGTGGCAATGTGTAAAACCTGACTGAATCTAAATTGTAGTGTTTTTTTTTTAATGAACTCAAATATTGCTTGTGATTTTATGTCATTTACTAACACGGTTTCCGGTACAAACACGTTTCCCCGTGTCCGAGGTTGGATACCACTGCGCGGACCTTAATGCGCTATTATCACTAAACGGCATGCGCATGCGCCTATTAGTTAATGAGTGAAAAACGTTTGTTTCGGCAAGATTCACCAACCCTCAAATTTTGGCACAATAGTTTCGGAACACCCTGTATAGAAGCACCCCCTATAAGTCTTATGTTTGACAGTATATGTTTTCACTACCTGAGAGAATATACAGGGAACAGCAAATTGTGTATGGAAAAAAATTCAAAATCAGTTTCACAGAGACTTTTTTCTACTCCCTGAATCAAAATATACGTTTTCACTACCTGAGAAAATATACAGGGAACAGCAAATTGTGTATGAATTTGAAATAGAACACCCTTTATATTTTCCAAGAGCTTTCCAAAAATATCCGACACAATATAATTGATTATCTTCCTTATTCAAACTAACAGAGCTCGATTGATTTGTGAACAATTTTCTAAAAGAAGGTCATGACATTTGATTCTCATTGACGTTGATTCTTGGACCCATTTCAAGAATAAAACTTCAGTAAAATATCTGCACTTTATAAGAAAGCACTGAAAGTATTGTATTGCCTCTCATTTGAAATCCCAACAAATGATCTGTATGCGATACCAGAAAAATTTTCATTGGATGAATTATATAAAATATATTCTCTTAAAGTTTCATATAATATAATAAACAATAATCTGAAATCCAATTTTGTTTTGGTAAGGAACTCAGAAATTCATGGTCATCACACGAGACAATTAAACATATTTCATCTTAATAATAATAATAATAATAATAATATAAGTTTATTCAAAAACGTTTACAAAATATACATTGGAATAAACATATAGGAAATTTGATAAACTGGGAAAAACCTTACGAAGTTAACCTTCTATAATTGGCCAAACTTTACTCACGCTGCTCTAGCTGAATTCAATAAATTACCACATAATATAAAAAATTGCAGACATCTTTCAAAATTTAAAATTGAATTAAAAAAACAAATGATTTCATTACGAAATGGATAAAATAGATACTTCGCCATCTACTGATTAGTCCCTGTGGCTATGTTTATGACTTGATCGATTTAGCATTTTTAGATTTTTTAGATTTTTTGTTGTTGTTGTTGTTGTTGTTGTCACCTTATATTATTTTATTATTGTTGTTTGTAATCAACTTCCTCATACCAGAATTTTATTCATGACTGGAAGCTAGTTTTTCAATGAACAATAAAACAATAAACAATATGAACGTATGTTGCAAACGTCCTTACTTTTGAGATACATGGTATCAAAGTTGAACATATACATAGATTCTTTTTTTGTCCACCCTGTATAGCTTTTCCTGATGACAAAATTCATTCTGCTATGTGACTGAACTGGTGCAAAAAAAATACTGTGGTTATCCAGTAATAGCTGTTCTGAATGGGGTACTCAAGCTTAGCATTTACATCAAAATTTGAAGTTTGATCTCGTTTTTTCGTTTTTTCTCGAAAACGAAGCGTCCTGTCGGGTATCATCAACAAGAGGATTTTTTTTTGTACAAAATTGAATAGCATTTCATTAAACTTGGAAATATTCCTTCGTTGCTCACTTTCAAGTATAATATAATCAATCATATCCCCCTAACGGCGCCACTGGCAGACAAAAGGAACATTTGTATACATAAAAAAATGCACCTTGATACATAGAAGATATGTATTAAATTTCATGAAGATGACTTCAATATTATTCCAGTTAGTATTAAACAACAGATTTTTTTTTCAAATCTTCATCATACTGTATCTCAAAAGTTAAGACTTTTGGGACATACGTCAGTGGGAAGTTTTTTTTCTTGAAATGCGTTGAAGAATCACCCCCTTGAATATTAACTTTTGGGACATACGTCAGTGGGAAGTTTTTTTTCTTGAAATGCGTTGAAGAATCACCCCCTTGAATATTAGCGTCACTTTAAGGAACACCCTGAATAATAGATTTGATTTGAAATTGATACACTTTTGATGCTTCTTGTATACTTTTTCAAATAGTGAAAACGTATCTGTTGAATCAAGGAAGAAAAAAAAAACTGTGGGGCTGTTTATCATGTTTTTTTTTACTGTCAAAATGAAAGAGTTATAGGAGTTGGTACTTTATAACGTGTCACCCAATTCCAATGTTTTGTATTCCTCAATCAGGTCGAAACAGAAGCTGGAAGAAAACTCGACCGGCAAAACGCCCAGCTCGGAAACACTCCTGTTCGACCTCATCCAGGAACCCGCCGAAGCCATAAACCCCGTACTGGTAGCGCCCTGCGACCACCCCATCCCCTCCAGTGCCATATCTGACAAAATAGACATTCCAGTGGAGGAGCACAAGTACTCCGACTCGTCCAGACTGTCCATCAGCGCTCCCGAGCCTTCCTCCATGGAGCTGGTCTCTCAAGGAAGCTCGCTATCCCGATCCGCCTCCAACGTTTCCACGATAGACAAGGGCTCGTCAGTGAAGAAGCACACCAGCTTCCTAGAGAGCCTACACAGCCAAGACACGGGCTCGAACTCGAAGAAAAACGAAGATCTGCTGGACACTAACGGCTCCGGCAAAGTGAGGAACTTGAAGAAGGAGTTCGAAGCCAAGTCCAGTTCCAAACACAAAGGGACCAGTTTGCCTTCATCGCCGGTGAGCGTGCACCTCCCCAAAGCGGACAAACTCGCGTCGGACGACGTCAACCTGAAAAACCTGATCGGGCTGTTCGAGAACAAGGAGAGCGTCGTGAATCTCCGGCAAAAGTCGCGTCCGTTCGCGCAGAACCGCAACACGCGTTATTCGTGCATCGAGGTGTCGCCGCGCATCATCCAGACGCCGCTGATCGACAGTATGGCGAAGAAGACGACCGGTTCGGAGGAGAAGCGCCCGCCCATGGTGCCGGTGGTGCGGAACGCCTCGCCCTGTATGGTGGTCGCCGCCACCGTGATCACGGCGGCGAAGAAGAAGCAGCAGCAGTACGGGAAGAGCCATCCATTGGCCAGGTTGAATATCAAGCCGCGGCACAATAATCCCGTCTATAACACTATGTAACGCTCAAATTACAGAGGAGGCTGTGACCGCACTCGGTGTTCGTTTTTTTTTTTCGGTTGTTGGCGCGGGGGTGGTTTGCCGGATGAGCTTAAGTGTGATAAGTTGCGTAAGATGTGATATAAATATAGCAAAGTCCGATGGATTTCCGAGGGTAGGTCATTTTACTATGCTGATTCAATCGGTTTTTGAAGTGGTGTGAATAATATTTATGAGAAAATCTATCAGTAGTGTAGCTAAACTGATTCAGCCTCCTGTGGCCCTGTCTTCCCAATCGTTGGTGTGGGCGACCGGTAATTAGTCATTGAGTTGAAATGGAAGAAGCTATAAAGATCTTTTTTTGATAATGATGGAAACACTCTTAGACCTGTTCAAAGTATTCAAAGATATGCAAAATATTTGAAATTTCAGAAATACACCAATCCAAAATCTATCTCATTTTATCTTTTATGAGGTGAAAGAAAATCAAAATGTCCCCCTTTCTCGTATGAACGGTTGGTGTGTCGGTACTATGCAATTTGGCAGCATCGGCATTTCCCACAGCCATTGCATAGCTGTGTTGCCACATAAGTGCTTCGTAGGTTTGAAAGGTAATAACAGTATTTTTCGTGATTTTCATTAGTAATTCGCGGAATTCAGAGTGAAATAGTTCTTTAGATGTCAAGGGTGCAAAAATAGACCATTCAGTACCTTATCTCTAGTACCTATTTGTTCATTATACACATAACCACATTGTTATTACTGCATTGCCAATATGAAGTAACAAAAAGGCCAATTGGCATTCCTTGTCCCCATGGAATAAGGGGGTAAAAACAAATATAATTTGATGAAGAACAGGAGATTCACAAGTATAGTGACTTGTCTGACGTTTTTACGGAAATATTAGAAATAAATGAGTTGAGAGGAAACTATCCAATTTTGCCAAATAAAAAGTACCTCGGACTTCTGAATACCATACAAGATGGGGAAATTCCTGGATATTAGGATCAATAGAAACTTGATCACAATTTGATGGATACATGCTCATCCAGCTCAAATAGCTAATGTAGATCTCCAAATACATTGCTCCTATCAACTAGAAGCCATTGCAATTAGGTGTTCTCCTAAATATAATGAGAACTCAAGAATATGTTTCATATTTTGTTGCTGATTATAAAACAAAAAATGTCATTCCTAGAGTCAACACTATCTGAGTATAGTGAATAATCAGGGCCTAGAAATTTTCAATCCATGAAAAGCTTTCCATGTTAATTGTTTATTGAGAAACTAGCTCCCACTCAGAAATAAATTCTGGCATGAGGAAGTTGATAACAACAATAATTAAAATAACATTTGATTCATAGAATGCTTCTTGGTGTTTGTTACATTGTTCAGACAAATAATTATTAAGAATGTCTAAGACTTTTTTATTATTTTTGCTACTAGCTTCTTGATGGGTTTCTATGGTGATATTAGCGCCCACTGTATGGTTATAGACAAGTGTATATCTTAGAACACATTTGGCTGGTTCAAATATCTTTCATTAAAATTCTCTACTGAGAATTTGGAGGTGAGTTTTCTTTTTGAGGAAAAAATCAACCTCGGCTGAATGAAACGACAATTTTTGCAAATTGGTGGTTGACGATTAAGTGGACGAATCAACAGTTGGAAATTACGTGGGTTCTTGTAGGCGAAAATATTCGACAAGTTCGACTGAGAATAAAAATTAGGTGCGATAGTTAAAAAAAAACCTCTAGAGATAATGCCAAAATATACATGAGGATCCTGTACACACGAAAGAAATGCGATTTCCGTCTATATCTTCTTGACAACTTCGTTCATACTACCACTACCATCATTGTGTCTTTCAATTTCGAAAAATATTTGTAATTACAAAACATGGAAAAGGATGAAACATTGCCACTTGTGATCACGTGGCAGTGACAGGTCTCTTTCACGGGCGAGGGGGCAGACAGGGGGATGATTAGGGCCTATCAATGTAGATTCACAACACCCATACAAATTCCTTCTGGAAAATCTGTATATCAAAGTTTTTGCTATTTACCAGATTTGTAGTTTAAGAAATTTACGGATCATGAATTTTTATTTCAAATCTCGATGAAAAAAATCATATTCTACAAAAGTCCCTAACAATTATTAACATGTGGCAAATATACAGTGATCACAATATTTCCAGTGCAAAAATATAACTTTCAATTTCCAAATTTCAATTTTAGTTTGTTCATACAGATGAACGAAATTTAATGTCACTATCTAATTGATTCATATTTTTTGAAAATCACTATATTCCAGTTCCAGATTCCATAAGTTTTCTGTAATTATTTTTTCATATCACTTCAAAATATAATGAGAGAGACTATCAGCCATAATCTTTATCTGTTGCAGTTTGTGATGATTCATTATGATATAAGGCATCCAGGAACTGAAAAAATTGCACAAAATATTGGAATAGGGCACAGCTTGTAAATAACTCAACAAAATAAAGCAGTTTATGCTGGAAAAATTAGTGCAAACTATTGTTTAGGTAAAAATTGTATGTGTTAGCTTCCTGTATATAGCAAATGTATTTTTCGATCTTGTTGAATATGTACATTTTTTATTGCTACTTTACAAACTCTTTTTTACTTATTGTGATTTTCTGTTCATCATCTGATATCAAAAGGACAACCTTAATATTCTTACTGCCAAATAAGTCAACTGTGGACCATGATAACAATAATTATGAAGGAAGAATTAATGAAAGGTGATGATTCATGGATGATGGAGGTTTACAGATTATGAATTGATTTATGAAGTATTTTACATGTGTTTCTTCCTTGATCAGTCACTTTTTCTACCCAAGCAGAAAAATGTTCATAGAAACTGAAGGAGTACCTACAGACTTATCGGCTGTTGAGAATTCTAGTCTGGTGTGTATTGAAGAATGTGGAACATGGGAAAATCATTCAAGTGTATGATCCTAACTTTATATCCAGAAAATGATGTGGTAAGGCTCAGTCACGTTATGATGACAGTTTGAAAATTGTTTCGTCTACATGTACTCATTTCTATAGGAATGTCTCTTCCTTATCTATGCAGGATGGTTTATTAGTAATGGTAGGTACACAGGGCAGTAGTAGATTGCTTGTAGCAAAATGATTCAAACTCTTCTTGTGTGTTCAGAAAAGTATGGGAAAAACACCAAGTCAAAATTGATAGTGTTTCATTTTGTGACTGGGGAAATGCTTGAATTCAAATATAATTTTCTTGTTTCTCCTAGTCCTAGACAAAAAAAAGTATACTAATTCAACTGATGCTAAATGTAAATATTTTCAGAACATATACTTTGGTTCAGTATTCATTATGCCGCATTTTGGAATAATACATATTGTACAAAATCTAACGATTTTGACACGACGTTTTTTTATGTTTCACTATCGTTTTCATCTAACACCTATTATGATGAATAACAAAGATGTATCTGAAGAACACTTTATGTCCAACAATAAAATAGCAGAGAGTTGAAGTGTTGCCACGAACGTTAACGTTAACGTAGAAATTGACAGCTACGCATGCGCATTTTTCAATTCTTCACGTTCGCGTTGCTAGTGGGCTTACGGGTGTACGTTATCTCACGTACTTTCACGTATACCTTAAATATCAACGTACGTTAACCGAACCAAACTCGAAATATGCCGATGAGTCAAAATCATCAAATTCGGGATCCTTAAGGAGTTCTGCATCAGGGCAACCTTCCATTTTAACACGAATAAATGTTTTGATCTAAACAAACAACCAAAACTGACCAATACAAACCGATAACATAATTTGTTATAACGTTACGATGACAGTGACGACTTCAACTCAATTTGAAGACAATACGTAAACGTTATTTTTCGTACTTTAACGTTTACGTGGAGGTCTACGTACAGTGATTACTTCAACTCTCTAGCAAATATTTCGAAAATGTCACGTATACTGTAGGCAGGGGTGGCTAAGTTGTGTTCAACGACTTTAACTGAATTTTAACAAGAATATTTGCACTTGCAATTTTCCTTCTGCTCTGTGAATCATTACTTATATACCATTCATAGATATTTAGAATAAACTGAGATGCATTGATTGACGAGTAACAATGCTCATGAAATTTATAGTCGACAAACGTTGCTTTAAATGTCGTAGCTTGAACTTGTGTCTTGTATTAGATTCCAAGTTCAACATGTAAATAAAATTAATTGCATGTGTATCCTTTCTTCAAAGCTAATATGACATCACATAGACATTAATGGCGATTAGAAATTAGAAGTGATACTGTGAAATCAATATTTATTTCTCTTATCGTTGTTATAGACGTTGATTTTCAACTTTTATAGCATGGACCCTTGTTTTTTGGGGGACGTGTGGATTTTATGGCTCTTTTGATAAGATCTTTCGTTTCGGAATATTATGTTATGTTAACATGCTGTCCTCTTGCTTTTGTGTGTATTTGTGTGATAGACCTTTTTTTGTATGATAGATGTAAATTATATTATGTAATGCTTAGAAATGTTCTCGGTAAGAAAAATATAAAAGCGATTGTTTAAAGTTAGTTTCATTTTTTTGTTCCATACATAGGTACCGACAACAAATCGGTCAGTAGAAATCTACTTGGTACAATTTCTTTGTGGAAACGAAGGCGATTTTCGGTACCGATGATATATCACTTTTCACTCTGACCGTCTCCTTTTCCTTCTCTTTATCCTTCTTTTTTACCGGTCCAACATCGATGGCATACACTGCTCCAGGGAGGAAATTGATAGAAGCAGCCGTCTACAAATCAACAAGTGAGTAAAATGATTATTTTATGCATGACCAAGCTTAAAGCAGCACTTCGACGCCTTAGAGCGAAAAAGAGTAACAGCGGGTGCTAAAGTAGGTACAATTAGCGGTAATGTGATTTTGATTTTTCTTCACCATTGTCATTCATAATATGGCTGAATGAACATTTCATCGCCAATCTTGTGAAATCAACATTTCAACTGGTTACATAAAGGTCGTAAAATCTCAGTCGTAAAGTCTCAGTCGTAAAGTAAGGTGTTTCAAAACTTCCTTCAAGTTTGGAAAAGTGTCAAATTGTAGAAATGCTGGCAACGATTTACTTTAGGAATGAATCAGTATGAGCAAAATGGAGAAAACATTTCAGAAGAACCAACTGATTAATGGAATGAGAAACTATTGAAATTCATTTCAGAGGAATTTTAGATGTAACAGAGTTGATAATCTTAAATTCCAAGCAGAATTATTCGAAAGTTACAGATTTTATAGTAAAGAGGAGTAAATTAATCAGGAAACAAAAAGAAAAAAAACAGATAGAGAATTGGAAAAAAAGATTTATATACAGAGTTATGACAATCTACAGCATTTGAAAAAATAAAAGAAATATTTGAATGACAAATTGAAACATTACTATTAATATTGCTACTATTTATGAAGATTAAATTGTAATCACTCATAGAGAACGATATTGTGTAGCTACTTTACAAAATGGCTGCCAGTTGAATATCGCTGTTCATCCTGTCGATAATGAATGGCGTGAAATAACGTGTAATGAGTTTACCATCACTTTTTTCAACGAAAATCAACACAGTATTTTCAGAAACAACAAAATATACATTGAAATGAAAAAGCAAATCGTTGCTATTAAAGGATATAGTCAGTCATGAAGTGAATTCCTGGTAAATTTTGTTACAAAACTTTCATGCAATTTGTAAACAGCGGCTTTTTGGTTCCTGAAAAATTCAGTTGAATGTCTATGGTCCGAAGGTAACCAGAACTGAGTAGAAGAGCTATGAGAATTTTTGGACTATCCCATAAAATTGCTTTCTCAAGGTTTTAGTGAGTCAGTTGGATGAAGAGTTCAATGAAATTATCACACCCGACGTCGATTGTCGATAACACACGTATCTCCGAGGTCAGTTACACTAAAACAAACCATCTATCTCACTTGGACACATCACAACCAGCACCAAGCTTACCACATGCACTCCTAAGAAATATACTGAATACGCGGAATTTTGGTCTAGAACATTCATAGTTCATCTACTTGAGAGAAACGTCTTATTAAAAACGCCACAAGCCGAAACTTCTCCATTTTTCATCTGCGTTCAAAAAACAAAATGCTGAATGGTACCTAGGAGAACACAATTATAACTGACGTTGATGTATTTTTTTTAACAACCCAAGCTTGAGGAATCTATCACGGTGAGCCATTTTTTTGAGCCCGCCCAGATTAACTTATCCTTCCTATATTCATGTGATTGCTGTTGAAACTTACTGTTGTTGTTTGAAGATCTACAATACGAAGAATATTTGGATCGGTGCCTCCAGTAACTATGAAGTCCTTTGTCACATATTTCCCACAATATAGCTAAGAAAAAACACATCTTAAGTTGTTATAGTAGGTATTCATTTTAGTGTTAACTTATAACCTACTTTGCTATTGTATATGTCAGGCTCCAAGCAAGAAATTCTCTTTCCACTACCATAGTCCCATAACTGAAGATAATCTGTATTTTGGAAGCCACAGGTCAGCACCTACAAGATACGTATTATCGATATGAAATAGGTACTACAGGGTGGTTTACATGAAGTTGTGTAGAATGAGTTATTCAGTGGGTGGTCTCTCAAAATAATGTCACGAGTAGAACATTTGGTAAATCAGTATGTTCGAACCTTCGGGGTGATATAAACATTGAGTTGATCAAACAATCCGTTGACATTGAACTATGGATACTGACCAAGAAAGTCTCATGAGAAACGTGCAAGCCTAATGAATTGTATCTAAACACTGGATGTGAGGGGTTCCTAAGTGTGCAGAGGAATCGAGTGCCCCCTGGTGCCCAGGTCAGCACCTACAAGATACTTATGATCGATATGAAAAAGGTACTACAGGGAGGTTTGCATGAAATTGTGTAGAATTATGAGTTATTCAGTGGGTGGTCTCTATTGAAATAATGTCACCAGTAGACCATTCGGTAAATCAATATGTTCAAACCTTCAGGCTGTTATAAACATTGAGTAGATCAAACAATCCGTTGACATTGAACTATGGATACTGCCCAAGGAAATCTCATGAGGAACGTGCAAGCCTAATGAATTGTATCTGAATATTGGATGTGACGGTTCCGAAGTGTGCAGAGGAATCGAGTGCCCCCTGGTGTCCCCATGAGCTGCTATTCAGCAATATGTGCTTCGAACTATCGAACAGCACTGGGGTGTGATGCGCCGACTGGATCGATTTTTGTGGCCACCTTCGCAAGCTACCATTAATGGAGCTCACAAAGTCACAACTCATATATTTTGAACTTTTAACTGTCGCAGTTCATGGGTCGCGCCGTGTGATTTGGTGCTCGACCCCAGCAAACATCAATAGGCGGAAAATAGCCGGACCATAGCCGTCAGCAGCAGATATGTGCCGGAAGCGGCAAACCGACATCGGCAAAATGTTAAAATGACATCGGCGAAATGTTGAAATGACATCAGTTGTGCCGCATCGAATTGGTGTACGCATTTTTATTATGTTTGTCATCCATCCCTCAATTGACCGTTATAGATATGTTACAATCGCACCGCTGTCGATTCGACGCTGGATACAATAAACTCCATACCAATATTATACCTCCAGAATTCTCATGCATTTTTTATGATTGAACTCAGCAAACTATCGTTTGACATCAAAATTAATTATATGTTATATAACAATTATACTCGTTGTCTACCAATTCATTCTTGTGGTGATGACTTTGAGCTCTAAATATTTGTTCATAATATAACAATGATACACCAATGCGAAGTTCAGTTCTTCATCTAATATATATTCAACAAATATTTGATTCACAGTGATAGATCAAACACTGGAAAAGTAATGTGGCTGTAACATTATCAGACTATACCTATTCTACTTCATCAAATTCAATCAATCAGTCAACTTTATTATTCCCAAGAAACAACATTTGTTTATAGCAGGGAACATGGTGAATACATCAATATATTTGACAAAATAAAATAAAGAAGACAGTGAAATCAGACTCACACTCAAGAAGAATCTTTTTTTCCAAGTTCAACTGAATATGATTCCCAATTGACTCAGCTGTTAGGTACCCAATAGAAAACTATAGTAGTTGAACAAGAAAACTATAAAAATGAGATAAGATGTCAATATCACAGGAGTAGATGTTTCTTGAATTCTTTTTTAAATTTTTCAATCCTATCAATCAGCTTCAAGTTATTTGGTAGTGAATTGTATTGTATCATTCCATTGTGATAGATGGATTTTTTACCAATATCTGATTCAATTTTCTTGACAGAAAAATGATCTGCTTGTCTAGTTGTATGGTTGTGGCGATTACTATTAATTTGGAAAACCAAATTTGAATGCTTTTTACAATGTTTAACTGAATGAATGAACGACATTAATTTGAATTTATATAGTGAATCTATATCTAACTCGCTTCTTCTGTAGGTGTATACAGTATGTATGTATATTATGTATGTTGAAGCGCCGGTTCGAGACCGACCCCCACTATCTTTCTTTATTTCTAACCGAATAGTGTCAGCAGATGGCGACACGGCTGGCCGCTCGACGATGTATCATGATTGTGGCCCGCTGATGTTGTCTCTCGGCAGTTTTTGAAGGGCGTCTGAAAGCCCGCGGGATATACATTTGCTGGGACGCCCTTGTGAAATCATGGTGCATGAAAGGAAATGAATCCACGTACATTTCAGGTGCATGAAGCACGAAAGTCTTGGAACGCTGAAGAGCTGATCAGGTACTGTACCGAGCTGCCCGATTAAGTTGCTGGAAAGCGGACGAGAGCCTAAAGTTTTTGAACCACTCCCAAACCCCATTCTCAGATTGGTCACAGTGAATCACGTAGAAAAACATGGAATAGCTAGTTAAAATCATTAACAAAACCCTCGGGGTCTCGAGAGAAAGGAAAAATATCCTTGAACGCGTAAATCACTACACAAATCAACACAGTGGGCTAACGCTTGCTACTAGTGGACCAGAATAAAACTCCCTGACCAAACTCACAATTTCATTGCGAAAAATAAGCATAAAAAACATATCACGTGATGGAAATGGTTCGAAAGATTTAGGCACTTGTCCAAGTTTAGTTTAGTTTTAGTTTAGTTTTTATTCATCCATTAAAGAGCTCATAAGAGCAATAGGATAAGTCAAAAGGTACACAATTCTAACACATCACAATAATACATAGAATTGAAACAAATGAATGAAATGACTTACATACAATATTAACATGTCCAAATGATACATTAATTTTGTAAAAATAAAAAGAACTCGTCAATTGTATAGGGACTGATGTCAAGGAGCAGATTTTTTATTTTATGTTTGAAATATTTTTCAGAAGGAGCATATTTGATGTTTTCTGGAATAAGATTATATGCCCTAAGTCCAATAGACTCAAACGAATGAAGTCGCAGAGATAATCGTGTCTTAGGCAGATGAAAATTGTTTTTTATGCGGGTATTGTAATCATGAAAAGCATTATTCCTCTCAAAATTGGTTCTATTTTTGTATACGAATACCAAGACTTCCATGATGTAAAGACCTGCTAGAGGCAAGATTCTGAATTTTTTGAACAAGTTTCGACATGATTCAACTGGTGGTACTTTTGCAATTGTTCTGATAATTCGCTTTTGAGATAAAAATACATTATATTATGCATGTGGAGAGGAACCCCAAACAATCAGACCGTAGCATAGTCTGGATTGAACTTCTCCGAAATAATACAAGAGTAGACCTGAGTTGTCAAGAATTCTAGTCAAATTTCTCAACAAATAACAGTTTCTGTTGAGTTTACTAATGAGATGAGTGCAATGGGTACAGAAATTGAGATCTTTATCTAAAAATATACCTAGAAATTTCACACTGTCAGTTTTTTCAATAGCAATATCAGAAATTTCAATATTTAAATCAATTTGATTAGTATTCTGAGCAGTCCGGAACATGACGGCTTTCGTTTTAGAGGCATTCAAGTGAAGAGAATTGTTACAAAACCAGTTCTGTAGATGATGAAGATTTGAATTGACGTTCTGTTGTAATGTATTTACGTTACTAGACCTGAATAATAGAGAAGAATCATCGGCATACAAGCAAGTAAAGCACTCAGTTAAAGCCAATGGCAATTCATTCGTATATAAAATGAAAAGTATCGGACCGAGAACTGAACCTTGAGGGACCCCAATGTCATTTGATAGTTCGTTAGAAAATATATGTTCATAATGATTATTACTTGAATGTGGTATTTTTACTGTTTGAGTTCTATTATAGAGATATGACATGAACCAGTTGTGTTGTAATCCTCTAATACCCAAATCATATAATTTTCCCGAAAGAATATCGTGGTCCACGCAGTCAAAAGCTCGACTAAGATCACAAAAGACCCCAGTTGGGTTTTCACCTCCTTCAATAGACTTCAGAAGAGTTGAATAAAATGATATTATTGCAGTTGTAGTCTCACCTCCGTACCCTTGGCGTTGACGTCCAACCCCTCCCCGCACACGTGCACTCCCGACAGGTGCCGGATGGCGTACGGCTGCCGCAGGTCCCAGAACTGGACGACGTCGTCCCAGCCGCCCGTGATCAGCTCGTAGTTGTTGCGCGGGTGGAAACAGGCGGCGAACACGCGCGACATGTGCCCGTCGTGCTTCTCGGGGTCTTCGCTGGAACACTTAGCCATAGTCGTGTTACGAAGCGGAAAAATATCAGTATATCACTGACGTTAACTACTATCTAGACCGCTTGTACCATAGGAAAGAATCTATGTCACTCCACTCACGAGATTGATCTGTAGAACATGAATCATGCACGATTTATGACCTGTCATATTAGTAGGGTAGCCCAAGCAGGCATTCTGGGATATTCTCGAGCGCGGAAGAATATCATAAGGGGGTAGGTAACCTTGCACCATGTGAAGTACTCTGACACCATATACCTGATGGGCTCTTTATATGATGTAGAATATCTAGGGCAGCTGATCAGATAAGTAAAAAAAAATCGATCGTTGGAAAAACTGAAGCGCGTCAGATTAAGACAAGGTAATGTCAAAACTTCACAAACGATAAGGCAAAGTGAGTCGATTACCTACATGCAAAAAAGTGTGCATTTCAATAATCTGACGATTTCCGCTTGACATAAGGAAATGGGAAAGCCACAAAGTTGCAACGTCACCTAGATATTCTCGGGCTATTTTTTTTTTTTCATTTTGAAGGAAGTTATTCACGGATCACGGAAATAACAAAATCTGCCGATTTGCACAAGCCGAAGTAGCAAAAATCAGCAATTAAGTGTGCGTGTATGCGGCCGCTAGCAATTATGTTTTTTCCACTTTGCGCCACTCTATACCCTTCTCACTCTTTCTTTATCTCTCACTATCTCGCAATGTCCTAATATATAGCACGACAGATCACCCAACGTGCAAATGCGAAACATAGGTTTCCCGCCAGAACCGAATCTCTATGCGAATGTCCAAAAAAATTACATTTGACAAACATATTGCACTTGTTTTGACCTGTTGTACTCGAATATGTAAAAATATACAGGATGTCCCATTTTCAGAAAAACCACCATATTATTACGTTTTAATGTGATGAAATCCGAAACGGTTGCTCATATACAGGGTGTCCGGAGATAAAACCGACAAGACTTATGGGGTTATAGGGACTCTCAATTTGATTGCAAAATGCCATAAACCAATGTCCAAAACCGCTTCGTTATTGACATACAGAGTGATTTGTGGATTTCGACAACAAAAAATTCAATCCGCCATATCAAATACAGGGATCAACCGATTAGATTAAAATTTGGTACACGAATTACACTGGAAAGCATCAACAAGTAGCCTTTTGATCGAAATCAATATCAGGACCGGAATAATATTTTTCCCCTATGTTGAGTTATTTTTAGAATAACTCACCCTGTATAATAATAATCAAAAATTTCAACTCAGATTCGAAATCTACGGTGAAAATTGTGTAGGAATTTGTTGAGAAACCTCCTGGAACTATCTTAGTTATTTCTTAATTAATTATCATTTTAATTTTTTTCATTCAAAAAATCAATTATTGCCGGATAAAGTACCATCAAAATTGGTAATAAAATAAATATCAACGAAACCATGACATGAATATAGTTAATTTCTTCAATCAGTTCGTGAATCGTAGTAAAATAAATTACTCTCATGACCCGAAAAAAATGAAAAATAAATTCGTATCAGGACTGGAATGAGGTTTTCTATGATTATATTCTTGTAAAAATAGATGATCTAGTATAACAATCATTCGAAATGCACTGAGAAAAGTTGGAAAACTTGTTGAAAAATGATCGAACTGAACTTTCAAATAATAAATCCGTATCAGTACCTTATAATGTTTGTGTATAGAGAATACTAGGCTTGTGTCAAATTCAGAATTTCATTATGGAAAATCATCGTTTACCTGTCATCAGCGTTTGTTTTATTGATGTTCATTCATTATTCCAGTGTTTTTAGGATCAAACTATAGTTCTGAGAGTGTGTTTAAGATGCCGTTTCATCTCACTAATGAGGAATTCGCAGATATTCTATTTTTGTATGGGCTTTAACTGGTGATGTTTACCTGAATTTCTGGTCAATACTTGACCAGATCTATGGCAAAGTGTAAATACCTGGGGTATGTGGTTTCAGCATGATGGTACTAGACCTCACTTTTCAGTTCCAGTTAGAAACCATCTCGATGTCAATTACCCCAATAGATGGATTGGCCGTGGAGGTTCAGTAAATTGGCCACCGCTATCCCCTGATCCAACTCAGCTAGATTATTTTTTATGAGGTCATTTAAAGTAAGAAGTTCATAATGAAGAAATTTGAATTGGAGAAAATTTATTATGGAAAATTACTGCTGCCTGTGTTAGTGTTAGAAAATGATACGCAAGTCAGTGAATCATCTAATAGCACGCTCTCAAAAATGTATTGATGATGCCGGATGGCTCCACTTTGAAAATGTTTTGTAATACTGGGTAGTGAAAGTTTTTTATGAATTCATTGGTTTTGTTATGTTCATTACATACAGTTATTGTTCTTTGTGTAGTATTTTCATAAATTCAAATTCATTAGTGAGCTAATATAATTTACGAAAACTTCACTCTTATCCTTTTTTAACAGGTTCTCATACGATTTTTTTAGATTCCGAATCTACGATCAGATATGATATGAATTTATTCTTCAGTTTTTTCGGGTATTGAGAATATTTGAGTTTACTCCGATTTATGAACTGATTGAAGAAAATAACGACATTCATGTCATGGATTCGTAAATATTTATTATATTAACAATTTTGGTGGTACTTTATCCGAAAATAATCGATTTTTTAATGAAAAAAATTAAAATAATAATTAATTACGGAATAACTAAGATAGTGCCAGGAGATTTTCCAACAAATTCCGATACAACTTTTACCGTAGATTTCGAATCAGAGTTGAAATTTTTGGTAATCATTATACAGGGTGAGTTATTCTAACAATAACCTCGACAATAACTCAACATAGGGGAAAAATATTATTCCGGTCCTGATATTGGTTTCGATCAAAGGGCTACTTGTTGATGCTTTTCAGTGTAATTCGTGTACCAAATTTGAATCTAATCGGTTATTCCCTGTATTTGATATGGCGGATCGAATTTTTTGTCAAAATCCACAAATCACTCTGTATCTCAGTAACGAAGCGGTTTTGGACATTCGTTTATGGCATTTTGCAATCATATCGACAGTCCCTATAACACCATGAGTTTTGTCGGTTTTATCTCCGGACATCCTGTATAACTGAACCAAATTTCAGAAAAAGCCGTTTAAGAACTGTGTCACCCGGTATGTCTACATGAGCTTCTTATCTTGAAATTGTGAATTCTTTGAGCTGTTGAAGTCCTGCTACAAGAAACCGACTCACTCTTTATATATGTTATTACATCCACTGTAAACTATGCACGGCCACCACAGAACCAAAATGAAGTAAACTCATTTAATCAGAAATTATATTCAACAAAATAATAATTATTTATCAACAAACAAGTGATCCCGACCGAGAGTGGTAACGACCGAGAGCGCTTCAATAATGCCACCGGTCTCTCTATGCGTTACGTATCTAACCCCTCGTCGCTTAATCACACCCGTGATATCACTGTCCTAGTCATATTCCCGTTTTCTTGAGATAACGACAGTCACAATAGTAACCAAAAAAAATTCCAACCGTCAGATTGAAGAAATTTCTCTACAAAATTGTAAGACTATCAGTCAATACGACAACGACACTAAGATGAAGCGTCTCGAGTATTTCAACGTCACCATCTTTTTTCATTTTTTAAAATTGTTCATGAATTCTGGTCGCGTCCAAACCGTCAGTCATTTGAATAGGAGCTACTTTGAGGATTCTAACATCCCTTCTAAGTACCTGACGCGCTCGAATACATTTTTTGTTAACTATTCTCTACCACAGTTCTCTACTCCCTTCGTACGGCCACTCCCACCATGCAAACCGCCATATTAATATATGTTTCCGTTATTAGAAACACGTGGGTCAAATACGCTATTAATATCTGAAGGGCTCGAGTATTTCTTTGTGACTGGATTTTTTTTACATTTTTCAAGACCTGTACACGCTTCTCCCCATACCCCCTCAGTGATAGGAAAAAACCTCACATACACTTTTTTCTTTTTAGCATATTATCTCCATAATTTGATAGGTCCCCACGACGCTCGAGTAAATCCATATTTAGCCTTTTTGCCTCCTCTACTAAATATATGTCTTACTTACTATTACCCTTGATTATTTACAGCACACTAACAAAAATAATTCCCCTCCATGTAAAATGTTGGAAGCCAAATCAAACCTCAGCTCTTCGCTGGTTCGTAGGCGGCGCTAGCAAAATATGGCCGATTTGTCTAGAGTAGTAGATATATGATACTCTCGGAATATGCTCGAGTCAATCTGTATATCTACAAGTTGCTGAACTATCTATGACCATTTCACTTATCACATAGACCAATCACAAGCCAGAGACAACGTGTGCTTATCGCACGAGAGGTTTTTTTTGTCGAAGTAAACTTGACATGCATCAATAAGAATTTTGTTGCCTGGCAATTTGACGAAAAAAACTGCCTCTGAAAAAATTACGAGTCCGTAGGACGAGTAATTTTTTATGGCAGTTTTTTGAGTTGAATTACCTAATGGCAACAAAATTCGAATTATGAATGCCAAGTTTACTTCGACTAAAAAAAGCTAGAGTGTAATTCGGTAAGACAATTTATTTCATCAAACATTTGCTTATGACTGGTTGTCATACTTTCAAAAGTAGGGTTCCGCTATTGTCGCTAGAAAAGTTAGGGCAAACTTTTTTCGCTGTCATAATGACAAATTGTCAAGGATATGTTACCATTATATAGTGAAGCAAAATCTGGATGTTACCATGGAAAGCGAAGCAAAGTCGGCCAGCTCGGCAAAAAATAATTATAACTGATATTTTGAAATAAAATCTTCTCCTTAACCACCCTGTATCTCTTGAACCAGCAATATTTTTATGAGGCATGTTGGGTTAAATTTTCATATTTGGGTGTTTACTACCTGTAGTTCAGAGATTTCCCATTCTCAATTTGATAAATAAAATTATTAAAATGTCAATGTCAAATGTGGAAAATCGAATCTCTTCAAGAGCGAATAACACAGAAGCCGTTGAAGTTAGACAATTTGATAAAGAGTACATTTTTCATGTGAAATTGAACGTGCTTCGAGATTTTCCACTTATTTTGATCATCAATGAATTGACATTGAAGATATACTGTAAATCATCGGAGTATCAGTGCCACTAGCGCCCTCAATGAGCAATCACAAAATAAGTTGAACATTCATATTCCTCATGTCATAAAACTTACAAATACAAGATTTCATGTTCATGCTGTCATAACTAACAAAGTTATTGTGAAGTTTTGAAATAAAATCTCCTCCTAGAACACCCTGTATATCTCCTAAACCAGCAACATTCTCATCTTGGGCTAAATCTCAATATTTTTGTGGTTACTATCTGTAGTTCAGAAATTTCCCATTCTTAATGAATCACCCGCTGTATATTCGTCCTGACGAACTCGTGGTGTTGCACAATTTCGAGAACAATGAAGCGACAGAATTATCTCGAATATTCAGAACATCCTGATATTACTTATGCATATCCTTCCTGAAGCAAGAAGGATTTTGAATAATAAATAAAAAATATTTGAATTCGTTCCTGATGCGACATTTCTAAATTGCATAATAACAACAACCCTTCGCTACCCAAGTACCCAACACAAATTAGTTCACCTTGTCGTTCATTTACTTGTTTCCGAAAACCTAGAGACGTGACTCGATGTGATGAACAGCAGTTTGGGGGTTCCTGCGTATTGAGCAGAAGCATTTTCAGGCGAGCAGTATATAGATGAGATTTTCGGGTTTCTGGGATATACCATGATATAGCGGTCTAGATAGTAGTTGTGCCAGTGGAATTTATACGGGCTCATTAAGTTTGGATGACTCATACTCCAAGAATCGAAAGAGCTCGATGAAATATAATATAATCTCTCTTTACAGGGTGTGAATAGATGAGTGCGAAAAATTTCAAGCGGCGATTTCCTGTCATATTTCATGAGAAAATGTGCTCATATACATTGGTCTATAGTTTATCCAAAAACAATTGTAGAGTCTCGTTCCGCACCTACACTCTTTTCAAAGGGAACTTCAAACATGCCAAAGCCGCATGAAGCGGGATATTCTGCAATTGATATTGGATAAACTTATTGCTTCGTTTTCAAGATATAGGGTTTCAATGTTTCCATAAAAATCGTTTATTTATCAATTACTCAAAAGTCACTTTCTCAATTTCAATGAAACTTTATGGTTTTGTTGATAGTAACATAATTATAATTTACTGTTTTTCCTTGTACAATGAATAAGTATTATCGAACGATCACGAAAGCATCAACTTGTGAAATATACAGAGTATGTCACGACGAGCTCACACTATCTTTATTTCGAGAATCAGTCGAAAGAAATTCATGAAAATATGCATGCTTATACTATTTTAGAATACGCTCTTTTCATTTGACATATTTTCGACAATGCAGTGTTGTAGCTTTCACTAGAAAGTAGTAGCAACATTGATATTTAGAATGGAACACCCTGTATTTGATCGCATTTTCAGATTCTCCCTGAAGAGCTGATTTCATCGATGCATCACACTTGGGGTCTATCGAAAAAGATTACAGAGATATAAATTGTTCAAAATCAAGATTTTTCAACTTTTTTTCTGTGTCGAAACTATTAATTATCGGTCAAAACGGCTCACATGTCCCAATCTCAACTCAACTCAACAGATACAGGAGTGGTTCAGAAGATTCAGAATTCTGATCATTCTGCATCTGTTCCGATTAAAATATCAGTAATTAGTATATCAAAAGTTGAGAAAAGGACATGTGAGCCGTTGTGGCCGATAATAAATAGTTTCGACACAAACGAATCCTAAACTTGAAAAATCTCGATTTTGAACACCCTATATTTCTGTAATCATTTATTCCGATAGACCCCAAGTGTGATGCATCGATGAAATCAGCTCTTGGAGAATCTAAAAATGCAATAAAATACAGGGTATTCTATTTAAAATACCAAAGTTGTTGCTACTTTTTGATAGAAGCGGCAACACTGCATTGCTGAAAATATTTCAAATGAAGAGAGCGTATTCTAAAATGTGAGCATGTATGTTTCCATGAATTTCTCCTGACTGATTCTCGATAAAGAGATAGTGTAAGCTCGACGTGACATACCTTTGTATAGGTACATATTTTGTGTATGATTTTTGATTTACCTGGCCATCAGAACACGTTCCTGCGTCTTACTTTCCTCATCATAGAAATAGACCTTCAGATCGTCCCCATAGGTGACGAACTTCGGAAAACGAGGGTGATAAGTTATCCCGAAAGTCTGCCGTTTTTCCTTTATAGTATAGAGGCACTGGTTGAAATGGTAACTCCAGCATTTTACACAACCGTTCGCATCTGGAATGAAAATAAAAACATAATTAAGTCATGGAAACCATCCATTCTCAAAGTGGTCCGGTATTTTTTCAACAGGAGAAAAACGAACTCAAAGTCGGTCGACCACAATATTTAATATCAAAATTATATATAAGCAGTGTGTGACTATAGTTTCGGCTCTACGGCCATCTTCAGACACAATTAAAAAGTACCTGTTATGTGGAGAAACATCTTCCTTTGATGGTTTGATTACAGTCAGATGAAGCTCACTTGGGTAGATTTCCATTTAATAGTTTCCCTGATGTTGAACTTACTTAAGTATGTTGTATCAAACTGATTATTATCAATTCTCATTTTACTTTACAGCTGATATTCCAGAAATTATGCCTGATATATACAGTGTGACCCACTTCTAATGAAAATGCCCCTGTATCTTACATAATCGTTGGGTAAGGATCCTGAAATTTGCTGGGAGCGAGAAATATACCAGAATGACCAAGTGGGGTCGTCATCTTCAGTGATAACCACTACTCGCCAAACAGCCATGGAACCACCCCAATTTCCAGAAAATGATATTAGGAGTTCAAATAGGTTGAAAATCACTTCGGATTCGGAATCAGGACGCCCAATTCCCTGACTATACATAGTATTCCTGGAAAATTTTCAGTTCGGAAAAATTAAAGTTTGTCTCACTTCTCATGGAAGCACCACCGTATCTCAAGTAATCATGCATTGAGGTAAGGTTCTGAAATTTGCAGGATGAAGGGAAAATCCAAAGATGAAGTCTGAATTTTATTTCTTTATATTCCTTCTGTAGAGACTTTAGGACATTTTATATATTTTATTTATACATTTATTATGTTTTTTGACATTCCATATGTACCAAGTGTATCAAAAATGGTGAATAAATATTATTATTATTATTATATTATTATTACGTAAGATACGGGGGTGCTACAAAATTTAATTTTTCAGAACTAAAAATTTTCTAGGTATAATATAAATAGTTAGTAAATTGGGCGTCCTCATTCCGAATCTGAAGTGATTTTCGACCTATTTTGACTCCTAATATCATTTTCCGGTAATTGCGATGGTTCCATGGCTGTTGGCGAGCAGTGTATATCACTGAAGATGACCCCACTTGGTCATAGAGTGCATTTTTGGTATATCTCTCGCTCCAGCAAATTTCAGGATCCTTACCCAACGATTACTTAAGATACAGAGGGGTGTTGCCATTAGAAGTGGGACACACTGTATATTATGTTTAATATAGATTCGTTATTGACACCCGGTATATTCAAACTGTTCCTTAGACATCATATAGTTCTATGCTTGTTGACTTTTCAATATCATTCTCATACAGGTATGCAATGTGTAGATTCAAAAAGATTCAAGAATTACAGTTTTTTTTGTTTACAATAGAATAAAAATTACAATAAGGAGTATTTCATCTTTCATCACAGTTCAAAAACTTCTTGCCGGATTTTCCTTAAACTTCGTTCAACTAAAGCAGGTTTGTATCTAATATGAGAATAATGTACCTTTTGGCATCATATACCTACTATATAGATTCCGCTCCAGAGGGTTACCCTCCGGTTGACCTGATTGATATATTTATGGTGAAAATATTGTTCTTACAAGTTTCATATTTTCATTTCATTCAACAATAGAAGCTGAATAGAAGATACAATAACTTCCTTATTGTTTCATAAGCTTTTCTTATCTTGTTCAGTTTTTAAGAAAAAAAGTGAAGACCTCTGATATGAATCCCAATTCTAATATTTCTAATGTAGGTTCTTTCAAGACATCCATAATACTACATAGCCATAAGGTTAAATTGGAGATTTTTAGAAATTATATTATAGTCACCCACCATACTGAAATCTGGCCTCGATTTTGGCATGATTGAAGCATACAACTTTTTTTCAATTTTGCAAGTACTATCACATATTGAATTTTTCATAGTAAAATCTGAAACACCCTGTATACAGTGATATTCCTCACTGTTTTTGAGATTGATTTTATCATTACTTTTTACATACATTACCTATTGAACATTAATATAAGTTGTTTGATCTATGATATGTAAGTCAAAAAAATTACTTTATTATACCGGGTGGCTACGGAAGTATTGCCTACGGATTATCTCAGTAATTGTATGAAGTAGGTTTGTGAAATTTGGAGCGTCGATATAATGACATAAGAGCTAGAATTTGAGCATATTGACATGTCAAAGTTAACTTCAGGTCTGACCGGAAGTAACATCAACTTTCATATTTTGAATAGAAACCCTATTTTTTTTTTCTTTTCGCTTTATTTAGCATTCAATTCCCTTTCTAATGACATATCACAAGTTGGTATCTAACCAGAAACTAGATCAGAAAGAAATTATTATTGAAATTCACACACACAAATTCAATAATTGGATTTTTTGGTATTTCATTTCAAAAAATGACTTTCTATTATATCATTAGAAAGGACTGGTTATGCTGAATAGTACAGGCAAGAAAAAGTTGTATGTTCCTATTTGAGTTATGGACCTACAGAGTATTGTTTTTTTCCCAATTTTTCCAATATTATTTTTGGCGGCTTTTTATAACGCCGACGAATGAAAATAAAATATCACAGTAGTAGCAACTGTTATCAAGTGACGTATGGTTTCCATAGCCAACTTTCAAATTTTTGGCTTTCATTTTGCTTCCACGGCCTACTCGGTGAATTTCAATAATAATTTTTTTCTGATCTAGTTTCTGGTTAGATACCAACTTGTGATATGTCATTAGAAAGGGAATTGAATGCTGAATAAAGCAAAAAGAAAAAAAAAATAGGGTTTCCATTTAAAATAAGAAAGTTGATGTTACTTCCGGTCAGACCGGAAGTCAACTTCGACATGTCAATATGCTCAAATTCTAGCTCTTATGTCATTATATAGACGCTTCAAATTTCACAAACCTACTTCATACAATAACTGAGATATTCCCTAGGCAATACTTCTGTAGCCACCAGGTATACAGGATGAACAGAAGATAAATGGGTCAAATTTTATTCCCTGTTTGAATTAGGAAAGGCAATAAAAACCAATGAATTTTGAATTTTCCTTAAGAAATGTACTGCTGAATATTGAAAGAAAAAATAAAGAAACAAAATTTTATAAAAATCAAAATACTCAGAAACATGAGTAAAACTATTCAGCTTCAGCTTCTTCAGCATGCTTCTTTTTCTTCTTCTTTTTCTCTTTTTTACGCTCAGCTTCACTACCAGTTTCACCCACAGAAGCATCTGGCTCAGTAGCCTCTGTTTCCATAGCTTCTGTTGTACTTTCTTCAGCACTATCCTTTGATTTCTTCTTCTTCTTCTTTTTCTTAGGAATGGGGCTTTCCTCAACAGCTTCAGGTTCTTCTGTAGCCTTTGCTACTGGAGCAGGTGTGGCAGGTGACTCAGCTTCTTTGCCGTCTTGTTTTCCTGCATAATCGACATAGCTGTGTAACCACTCCTTAGGAGTGTTCTCATTAGGCTTTCCATATTTGTCTAGTTGTCCTTGAGAAATCAATATCTTTTTTTGGCTTGCTCTGTGGCTCAGCCCCCATTTTCTAGGGTATGTGTCTCTCTCCATGATGACTCTCTTTATTTTTGCCACAACTCCATGATCACAGCTGGCCATAGTTGCAGTTGTCATCATTGCTATACCAAGGGCTATAGCTTCACCCTTTGTGGTGACAATAACAATTTCTTCATTCAATTCAATGTTGTCTTCATATCTCAACACTCCTGGAAGTAGAATCTTTGCACCATAACAGACAGCATTGACTGAGCTGTCCTTCATTATTATTCTCTTGTGCTTGACTAAGAGACCTTCCAATGGCTTTATCACTCTTCTCAGGTAGGTTTCATCTGCATGGTTGTCATATAACCATTGGGCATCCAGTACATCATGTAGTGTGGCAGTGTCATCTCCCTCACCATTAATCCCAGACTGAACTCTCCTAAGTTCCAACATCTGTCCCCCAGTTCCCACCATCAAGCCTAAGTGGACACACATTGTACGAATGTAAGAACCTGCCTCACATTTGACCCAGAAAACACCCATATTCCTGGTCTCATCATAATCCAATAGTTTGCTATCATACACTTTTCTGACTCTCAACTGCCTTTTAACTGCCGATATCAGAGGAGGTCTTTGAAACAATGCTCCTTTCAGTCTCTCCAAGCCCTGAGTCACTGTTTTAATGGAATCCACAGCAGAATGCAGTTTGAATACAGTCACATACTGTTTACCAGCAGCTTGTTGAGATTTCACCAACCTTGTTGCTCTATCAATACATACTATGAGACACCCTGTGGTTTTGGGATCTAGAGTACCAGAGTGACCTGTTTTCTCCACTTTGAGGATGCGTTTAATCCAAGCAACAACTTCATGACTACTTGGGTTACTAGGCTTATCCAAGTTGATATATCCTGACCTAACATAGTCGCTTATGTTTCTTCTCAAAGGAGATGACCCTGTAGGTATTGGTACATAGTGGTTTGTTCTCACATTTAGGCGATCGTAGTTTTTCAACAGTAACGGCCATTGGGACGTGTCTAGCTTTGCTATCCTTTCAGAAGGTTCTATGGAGAAGGCAATTTCTTTTTGTAATTTGCTCAAATCTTCCAACTTTTTCTTTTTCTTCGTTTTCAATCCAATATTATCGTTGTCCGTCATGGTTTAAAACTTGAGGAATCAAAGAAAATCACACGTGTTTTTGCTTACTTTACTAGTAGTGAAATAGGTTAGTTCCGTAAATTCATGATTTTTAAATTTTTAATGGCCCATTGCCAATTGAAATTGAAATTCTTTGCCTTCACGTGCTTCCTACAAATAGACCATTGCTACTATTGCCACTCGCATTTTTCATCTTCTTCTGTTTCTTCGGTTCTTAGATATTATGGCCGATGCCCTAGGTTTTACTTTTAAGGCAAAAGTTCATTGGCAAAATAATCAAAAGATGATTTCCAGAAATGTTGAAAAACTTTTTAAATTATTGGAACCGATAAAAAAAACGAGAAAATCAGAATTATCCGAAATCAATGAGTGAATTTCACAAAACTCTTGAGAAACCAAATAGCTATGAGCACTGAGATGCTTATGTTAGCTTTAGAAACTAACTCAAATCTTCTCAAATTTAAATGAATTTTTCTTGGAATTTGCATAATCATTTTAACAAATTTTTCTGAAAAGGAAGCAAAACTCGAATAGCCAAAACACTTTCCTAGTATGATAAATTGATGAAACTTAAAGATTAAGGTATATTTACATGTTCCAGTGAAGCAGTTTGTTATGGGATAAATTTTTGAAACAGGCCTATGCTGGATGCATGTAACTGGGGCTCTGTTATCTTTCACATCCATATCAGTTAATGTGAAAATTTGTTCTCCAGTTCCACTTTGAAATACCCTAATGATTCCATCAGAATATCCTGCAGCCAAATAGTCAAATTCTTCATTGTACTTGCAGCAAAGTACTTCTCTAGGTCCATCTCTATAAAAATGAAATAACATGTTATTGTAATACCTATTATTGCTACCTCTACTTCACTGCACAATAATGAAAGTTTCATTAAAAAATATGTTTAGGTAAAGAAGGTATAGATTATTACATTTGAGAAATTATATTAATTTTTCCTTCAACTGTGGTGTTGTCCTTGGGAGTTTTTTTGAGTGCCACTATAATCTGTTTCTCCTTCTCCTGTCCCATATCCATACTGGGATTACTGGGAGAATTTTCCGATGGGAGAAACTCACTGCCATAATGTTTTTTTATTCTATTAGGGTTCGATCGGTTAGCTGTTGGGCCAGGTGTGGAATGTCTTTGAATTTGGGACGTTTCAGTGATGAATACATCTTCTACTACCTCGCCCTTCTCATCAAAATAATTCTTTGGTTTCTTATTCATTTTTAAATTTCCCGCTTGGAATGCTCTCGAAAATGTGAAATATTCAAGGACGGAAAAACTGATAATTTTGTTTAGATAATTAAGACATTTTTGAGGTAAGTTGTTGATGTTCTATTCTATGATGTCATTTTGATGTGTGCTTTTGATCTTTCATGGCTAGTGATGGCAAGAAATATTTTTTTTTCATAAAAAGTCAAAAAGTGTCATGGCGAATATGGAAGATCAAGATGATGATTCTGGTGGGTTTCACAATATTATCTAATAATTGATTTTACTAAACTAAAATTTTCCTTGAATTACTCACCAGTCAACACTCAACACTAACGGTTTCCTTCACTTTATTTTTCGTAAATTGAAATGACATAACCTCAATTTTTATTTTCACATCCACAATCATCACAAATCACAATGCATGTTTGTAAACAAAGACGATTATCCAACACTTTCAAATTCTCATTTTCTGTTCTACAGATTTCATTTTAGTGGAAAGGAAGAATACTATGAAACGAGGAAAGCCACAGCAACAATTCTATAGACCAGGAAGTGGACCATTGAAGAAATCAAATACATTAGAAGAATCAGAGTCAGACACCAATATTTCTATAACCTCTAGAAATAATCAGGGTAAAAAAGACCCTCTGAATAATTCTAGATACAAAAGTGAAGGTAATTCTCCTAGAGAGAGGTCATCAGATGCAATAGACCAGGTAGCCTCTCATTTAGAAATAATGTTGAATAGTGAGGATGCAAAACGTCCCAAGAAACCAGAAAAAAATATATATGTGCCAAGGGCAGTTGCTCAAGCTAGAGAAGTTGGTTCTACCCAAGATTCCAAGAGTGATTCATTTCATAATGCCAATGGTAATCAATCAACTGACAAAAGTAATCCAAATCCTGCTAATGTTAGTGACCAACATAGAAATTATTCTAATAGAAGAAATGAAATGGGTATAGATGATGGAAGGCCTGAATGGAGAGATCAGTCTCTTCCTAGAAATAGGCGTAAACAAGGATTAGAACAAAGAGGTGAATAATCTTTTGAATTATTATTATTTGTAGTTGTTTTCTTCATTGATAACCACTGATAGCAAAATTATCTCTAGTCCATTATGAACTTTTTATTCTTGAAGTAGATAGGTACTAAATCCACTTGTGATTGTCATGTAGGTATTTCAGCAGAAATAATCAGTTATCAAGTAAATAGAGATAATGAATATCAAACTTTAGGTAAAATGAATATTCATATTTGAACCTGTTGAAACATAATCAACATTTATGATGATATGCTTGAAGCTTGTCATATTATGTGATTCCCCTAGCAACTTTTGGGAAAACCCTCTAGTCAAGATACAACAAATTTCATCATTACTTAGGTATATACCTAATGCTGGTGAGTTAAGTCTAGGGTTTGGTACTTGGTAGGCCTATAACCCATATTTTAATTAATCATTCCAATTAAAATATTTCTATTTTGACTAAAGTATGATTGCCACAAATAATTTTATAAGAAGCTACCTACTTTATTCATTAAAAGTACCATTATTATCTTTTGGATCACATCCTTTTATGGTTATTAAACATACCTGGTGTAGATGGATTTTTATTTGTACCTTTGGAGGTTGAAAACCTTGGAAAACTTCACAACTAGGACCTACACTACAATAACCAGCTGTCCTGCCACTCTTGCCTATAGTTTATTTCAAGGGGTAAACCATGGTGGAATTCTGGTGTACAAACCTTGGAATTCCCTGGAATTCCTTGGATTTCCTTGGATTTCCTTTAATTCCCTTGGGATTCCCTGGTCTACAAACAACTGGAATTTCTTGTAATTCCTTGGAATTCTTTGAGTGAAGTGAGGTATAATTCTGTGGAATAAACATCTGAAATTCCTTGGATTTCCTTGGATTTCTTTGGAATTTCTTGGATTTTCTTGGAATTCCTTGGACTTCCTTGGAATTTCCTGGAATTCCTTGGGTGAAGTGCAGTATATTCCTGGTCTACAGACAGCTGAAATTCCTTGGAATTCCTCGGATTACCTTGGAATTTTTTGGAATTCCTTGGATTTCCTTGGAATTTCTTGGATTTCCTTGGGGTGAAGTGCCATATAATTCTGGTGTATAAACTAGAGTTCCTAAATGTACTTGACACTGCTGTTTTGACGTTTTTTGTACTGCACTGCACTGACAATCAGACATAACTACAAATAAATTGATGGAAAACTCGGGAAGTGACAGAACACGGACGTACATGACAAAAATTTCAAAAGTTTGACAAATTGAGAGAATTAGGAGAAAGATGCAAGTTTGTGCAGTTTCCAACTTTGAGAACACAGGAAATCAATTAACTCCATTTGAATTTCCATGGGATAAAATAATTCTACAAAAATGGAAACTGAATATGATGCGGCCGGCATGGAATATAGGTTCAGGCCACAAAATAATTCAAATTTCTTAGTAGGATATAGTCTTTGAAACCTTTGAAATTTATGTCATGTACGTCCGTGTACTGTCAGTTTCTGCTTTTTCAATCAATTTATTTGTGGTTATGTCTGATTGTCAATTTTTGTCATAGTGTCCATACTCTAATATACAAAAAACGTCAAAACAGTAGTGTCAAGTACATTTAGGAACTCTAGTATAAAGTAATATCAAAAGATTCATCAAAGAATAAGCTCTACAATGTATTGGAATAGTCACATCTTGCAGAATTGACCGGGCGCTAGCCGATTTGCATACGTCTAGGTCGGAACTAAACTTAGTTCATTGTATCAGTTTATCACCTGACGAAGCTACTGTGTTAGCGAAACATGTCGTGTTTTTGAGAATTTTGTGGAAATCTTATCGTTTGTTAAGTTTTTGCATTTGCCATGGATTTACATCAAGTAACGGCCGAATCAATTAAAAAAAAACTTTTGACAGTGTTTAAATGAATGAATGAATTATTTATTTATTATTTATTTATTTATTTATTCTCATTTGAATTTATATAGTGAATCTATATCTAATAACTCTCTTCTTCTGTAGAGGTTCATAGTAGGTTCCGAATAATTTAGTCAGTATATACATTTGATAATTTTATTTTGAAGAGTTTTGAGAGGCTTTATAATTAATAGTTTTGTTGAACCCCATACAGAAATCAATTCAAGTTAAGAATAGATCAAAGAGAAGCATATAGATTTGAGACATTTTATAGGAACTCGATTCCGTGCCCTAAAAAGTATACCTATTATTGGAGATATTTTTTTTCTGAGTATTTCAATATGTTTTGACCATGACAAATGTTCATCTATGTACAGCCCAAGAAACTTGATATTATTTGAATATTTGATGACTTCATTATTACATGTAATTGGAAATTTGTACTCATTATGTCTCAATTTTTTTGAGATGAGCATAAATGCTGATTTACTTGAATTTATATTCAATTTATTACATGATAACCATGATAATAATATTTTAAAATCACTTGAAATTTCATTCCTAATTTGTTGTGCTGAACCTGCTAGATTAAGGTTGTGTCATCGGCAGACATAAATTCTACCTTTCAACTTCAAATTTGCAATAGGGTTGATATAAATAAAAAATAAAATAGGACCCAATACTGATCCTTGCGGTACACCGCATACTATTTCATCGCTCCTATTGAATAAGTGTCTTATTTGTCTATTGTTATATTTAGGGTCGCGCATTTTTTTTCGAAAACATGTTTTAGACAAAAAAATTTGGAACGGAAATTTCTCCGAAACAATCTTCGAAAGAAACTGTTTTTCGAAAAATAACTCTTCGAAACACATTGTTCCCTAATAACAATTTTTCGAAGACACGTTTAATTATCACAATAATACATTAACATGTGCAATATTCTGCAAACTAATTGATTCATCATCATCACATGTTTGGTCGAATGATGATCATTCATCATCACATGTTTGGTCGAATGATGATCATATATTGCGTAGTCTCTGGTCCAAAGATTCATACTTTTTTCGTGGGGGCTCCTCTTCAGAAATGGCTTTCGCAATCTTAAGTTTCGTCAAGCATTGTTCCTTCTTGATTTTGTCCGGGAAATTCCAGAGAGATAATTTTTGTGCGTAAATAAGGGATAAAAATCCCCTATGCTACGATTCAGCGGCGTTGTTGGTCAATTGTGGTTGCTGAAGAACATTTTCAAAGCAGCTCTAAAGAGAAAAGTCAAACATGTGTCCAGCTCTAGTTCATCTGTTCATCTTTCCCACCCATGTGTTTTCGAAATAATCAATAAATTCTTCATTTCCTTCTGTGGACAGATGTTCTCTCACTATCAAGTCGAAGCCTCTGAAGATTAAAGCAACTGGCATGAAAGCTAACGCTTCCAGCATCTTGATTTTCAAATTATAATGATAGAATAATGCTCTTCCATAAGTAGAGTTTTTTTTGCAAACACTTTTTGAGGCGTCGCTATTTCCTTACCTCGTCTCTAACCCAGCAACTACAAAATCTTCTTATTTCATTCAACTTATTAATGCACACGAATAGACCAACCAGAATCTCGCCAAATTGGCATAAGTGGCATCAGACCCGCTACTCTATATGACAGATATTTTCGTTACTGACACATTTGTTCTGGATGATACTGATATGGATACAATAAAACATTTGAAAAATAAAACGTCCTGTGGCAATGATAATATTTCAATAAGAATACTCGAGAATATGCCGTTATTCACACTAGAACTCCTGGTCCAGTTGATCAATGAGTCTTTCTCGAAAGGACTTTTTGCGAATTTCCTCAAAATTAACATAGTTATTCCTCTTCACAAAGGTTTTCGCCCTATTTCTCTTATCCCGACCTTTGGAAAAATTATTGAGAGATTGGTTAAAACTAGATTGATGAAGTTTTTATCAGCTCGAAATGTTCTGAATCCTCAACAATTTGGGTTCCAACCACAAAAAAGCACAGGAGACGCTGTCTTCTCATTTCTAAAAGAACTATATAGTAGAGTCAATCTCAAAGATGTTTGCGCAGCAGTATTTTGTGACCTGTCGAAAGCTTTGGATTGTGTAAATCGTGGAATACTCTTGCGCAAGCTCCAACGTTATGGTTTCAGGAATCAGAGCCTTAGTTGGATCGAGTCTTATCTGAGTGAACGTACGCAATTCGTTAAAACAAATACCAACTCAGAAACTAGATCAGTTAAACATGGTGTACCACAGGCCTCTGTACTGGGACCTATCCTGTTCTTATTGTATTTTAACGATTTGGCTAGACTCAAGATCGATGGTAGTTTTACTATATTTGCAGACGACACGACCATCTTGTGGAATGAGACCGATATAAATAGATTACACAGGAAAATTGTAAATGATATCTCCTTTGTAGAAAGGTGGTTTAACTCAAATTTGCTCTCTTTAAATATAAATAAAACCCATCTCTCATCATTTAAATGTAATCTACCAGATATTCCTTTGAGTACTGAAGTTATCATTGAGCAAACGTATACGAGCAAATTCCTTGGAATCCATCTGGACAACAATTTAAATTTTGAGAACCATGTGAAGTCTTTGAATACAAAACTAGCACGTGGGTGTTATGCTTTGCGAATGGTGGCCAAAGAACTGGGTATAGCCACTGCGAAGGTAGTATACCACGCTCTGATAGAATCACATATCAGGTATGGAATACCTTTTTGGGGTATCTGCAGCCAACAAAACTTCAATAGTGTCTTTGTTCTTCAAAAGCGTGCAGTCCGACACCTTTGCAAAGTTGGGCCAAGAGTATCTTGTAAACCGCTGTTCGGTCAAATAAAAATCCTCACCCTTCCGTCGTTATTTATTCTCGAAACAGTGTGTCTAGTACATAAAAACAAATCATCATACGAGGTAACAGTTGGTATCACTAGACGAAGGAACAATTTGCGATTACCTATTCCGACTTCAAATTTAACGAAAAACTCTCTGATCTATAGTGCGATTAAACTATACAATCACCTCCCTCCCGCCTTCAAAAACATAGTTTTGCCGTCGTAATTCAGGAGATCTGTCAAGCGATCGGTGAGGTTTTTTATAATGTTCAAGAGTTTCTTGAGAAAGATTGGAATAGTTAAAATATATGTCTATTTTAACATTTAGGAATTGTATTTTAATGCTCAATTCATTTTGTATCTGTCTGTTCTCTTTTATCCTCGCTTTTATCTTTTTCTTGTATTTACGTAAATATGTATTTATTATAATTGTGACAATGCTATAGTACCTGCTCTATACTATTTATTTATATATACTTATTTAATTATTTATTTTATATTCATCATGACTTTATCAATGAGATGAAAATCTTCCGATAATAAAGTATATTTTGATTTGATTGATTTGATTTGATTTGATATTGACGGACGTGATTAATGTCGGTATTTGGTTAGATAAGTCAGCTAGGTATGTAGATTGTTGAGAAGAAAAAAAGTATTTCGTAATAAAGAAATAAACGTATTCGAGAAAACAGCTCTTTAAAATGAATGATTTCGAAAATACAACCTTTCGAAAAGTTGTTTCTAGAAAAATGTGAAGGAAGGATTTTCGAAAAATTGTTTTTCGAAAAAATGTTTTGGAAAAAATAGTTTTCGAAAAAATGTTTTCGAAAAAATAGTTTTCGAAAACGTTGTTCGAAAAAAATTCCGCGACGCTTATATTTAAACCACTCGCCAATTATTGTTGTTGTTGATCATCGGAAACTTTCAGGCATCAATAACGGCCGAGAACCGCACTGGCAACGGTCGCGCGACACGCGCAGCGTCGAACCCGGAGCTGCCACCGGCTCCGGCCGGAACTACAACGAGAAGATCCAGGCGAAGCCTCCCAGCGGCCGCAGGCACAGCACCGTCGGCATCGAGCAGGAGAAACGCTCAGTGTTGTAAGTACGATAATGTATTTACTTACTTTCATTAAGAGTGATTTGAATAACGTTTCACAAAATCACCATAGTTATCAAACTCGCCATAAGAACTTTTGACATACCGAGACATAAAACTGCAATGTTCCGTAGATCTAAATTCATTGCTTTAAAATTATTCAATGCCCTTTCTAATGAACTGAAAAACATCTCTTGCCTCGAGAATTTCAAGAGAAAATGTAAAGAATTCTTAATGCCTGGCACTTTCTACACAGTAAATGAGGTTTTGAACAAGAATAGGAATATGAATTATTTAACCCTCGTTTTTTTGACTCACTGTTTTTTTCAATGTGCAATAATTACTGTTATGTATTGTTCTAATATTTTATGTATGTATTTGAGGATGTTTTAATCCAATTTATTTCAGTTTTACACTTGGTATAAACAACTTGACTTGTCCAACACCCTTATAATTGTGGCAATTTATGGATCAATAAAGTTTCTATTCTATTCTATTCTGTGTCCCAGCGAGCACAAACATTCCTGGGATGTTGTTTTACACTTCCCATAGAGGTCTTTGCAGGATATTGAAGTATTGTTTTTGTTCTCCTGTGACATTTCTTTGTGTGCCTACTGAGAGGTATCCCTGGGATGTTTTAAAAATTTAGGCATCAGGATGTTTTTTTGAGACTTGATATGCATTCCCAAAGAGGTCTTTAAATTATATTGAAAGTATTATTTTTGTTCTTCTGTGGCATTTCTTTGTTTGCCTACTGAGGAAGTATCCCTGGGATGCTTTGGCATGTTTTGAAAATGTTGGCACGAGGATGTTAAGTCCATTTGCATTTCTTTGGAAACCTGACAAATTCAAATTTGCCATCCAACTGATTGATACAGCCTAACGCAGAACATTTTACCATCCCTCCAAAACAGAATTTAATAATTATTGAAGATTGAATACTCATTACAATTTCGTGAGATTTCTTTTAACGCCTATGAATCTGACGTGGCAGCAATGTCATGTCAGGGACGCCAATACACAAAACCAAAGTCACTAAATCATTAAAAGAGAAAGGAGCTATGATCTGTCCGTACCCTGTTGAGATGGCAAATACGTCAATATACATCAAGGGGCCCTAGGTGTGACTACATTAAATATTGCTGAAACTTTTGTATCCATATTTTTCGACAGTTTAATCTCGGATTATGAATATTCATACCGTTTTACATTGATTGACCAGTTGTATCATTTCCGAGTGAAATCGATTTGAAAATATTATTACACACATCTTATGCACAACTTCTGAGTCAGTGACGGCGAGAGTTGTTGGGGCCCAGGTGCAATGAGGATTGATGGGGGCCCTAGTTCACTGATAAAAATGTCCCCACCCATAAAGCTGATAATTGTTCTTGCAGAGTCTTAAATTTCATATCTGAGGAAGTTGGAACTAGAATATATTTTTTTTCAATTTTTCGAGGTCAGGCCGTCTGAATTAGAAGTTGAAAATAGTAATATTTATCTCTTGGGTATGCTTCTAGTAGTCTCATTTTTTTTTTATTTTCTAGAAACAAAAACTCAGTGTTAGTGTTTCTTATTCATTAGTTGAAGGAACAAATCCTCTCAATCAAGTCACAAAGATCTAAAAATAGTATTTGCAAACGTTGACGAGCCGCCGTTTCCACCTCAGATTTTCATCATGCAGTGACTTTTACAGAAATTTCAATCTAACACGGGTTATAGATAATACACTATATTCTGAGGATTATTATCAATGAGTACCTTTATGTATTCAAAATGTTAGTCGCATCATCAAAATATTTCTAACAGAGCTATCAAATTGAAACGAACAAAAATCCAGGACTAGGACATGCATATTTCAATTCAAATTTCCACGCGTGAGTATATTCAGCATGTGAGCGTTTAATTTAAATGTTCGCTTACATCAATCTTTCGACTGTGATCGGATCTCGCGACTCATGGCGGCCATGGGATTCTCTTATTCTTATATTGTAAAATCAAAGCTGATTATAACATTTATAGGTACCCAACAACAAGAAATATATATAAAAAATATTGATAAAATAGAAACAAAAAACAATCACCGAACTGCCTCACCATAGCTACGCTACTGTTCGGAGTGGTTTGTTGCAATGGATGTGACCAATGAGCCCAATAAAAAAACGAATGTAAACCACTGACGTAACTACTATCTAGACCTGTATGTGTCATATCCCAGCAACCAGAAAATCTCTGGTGAATTGCTCGCCAGAAAACGCTTCTGCTCAATGCGCAGGAACTTCCAAACTGTCGTTCATGACATCGAGTCATGCTTATTGGTGTTAGTAGAAATGAGAAAAAGTGGGTAAGATATACAGGGTAACTCACGGTCGATGGTACGTTAGACGTTTATGGAGAACGGGATATAGGATCATTCTGAAATTTTGGTTACTCACGTAGTTGCTCTTGGTCTATCGATATAAAATATTTTCAGCTCTGCAGCGTTGCCGCTTCTATCGAAAAGTAGCAACAACTTTGATATTTTAAATGGAACACCCTGTATTTTATTGCATTTTCAGATTCTCTCTGAAGAGCTGATTTCATCGATGTAACACACTTGGGGTCTAGCGGAAATGATTACAGAGATATAGGGTGTGAAAAATCGTCATTTTTCAACTTTAGGAATTTTTTTTGTCGAAACTATTCATTATTGGTCAAAACGGCTTACATGTCCCGTCCCTATCTCAACTTTTGATTAACTATCTACTGATATTTAATTGGGACATATAACGGGTGATCAAGATTCTGAATTCTGCACGACCCTGGTTGAATCGAATATCCTTTTGGATGCATCGACATGAAGGACTGATTTATCGATGAATTCAAAGAGGTGAATATGTCCAATGGTGAAAACAATGAAAACTGTGAGATTGTTTCACAACGCCGATCCTATTGTCGATCTCTTGCATTATTAACAAGACGTGGACACCCAAGAAATGTTTTTTCTTTCTTTCTCAATGAGAGACTTCGCTCCAAGTTGCCAACCTAAAATCCTCTAATAATTCAGAAGCAATAATATGGAAGTTTGATTATTCTATTTTGGTGAAATCTAATTGTATGGGTCAACTCAGCTTTCTAATAGGAGTTATTCAGAAGAAAAATTGATTTTTGTGAACTCCACATCTGACTGTTTGAAAATCATGTTGGTGCATCTGCGGTACGTTGATACTGAAATGTCAATAATTTCAATAGTGTCACGAGTAGAAAATGGTATACCCATAATTCACCATCAGTAAGTTCGTAACAGATTGTTATTCGGTTATTCATTGTTGTTCATGTATATTTCATATAAATATTGTGATGATTGATTAGTCATATGATTTCAGCTACCCTTGAACTATCTGTGCCTACCTATTTGAATAAACGTATGTTATTTTGATATTGTTGTTTTGGAACATCGACCAGCAGATTGTGATACATTTGGTGAGCCTCATGAAAACATAAACAAATGGCGCAACAGGCGAATTTTTTTCTGTCAGGAATGAACACAGCGCACATTATGTCTGTTCAAATTAATTCAAGAAAAAAATAGCTTGATCCCATAGACCTTTGAAATTTTATACCTTTACAAGTGAGTACATGGAAGATTATGAAATAAAATGTTTTTATTAAACATAATCAAATAACAATTCACCAAAAATAAGAAAAAACACAATATGGGAACAAAATAACAATTAATAAATAAACAATATAACAATTAAAAAATAAACAATATAACAATTCATAAATCTATACAAGAAATAACTCAATCTTTGAATTTTAATTCATATTTTGTGTTCAAATTGCATCATATTTTAATAAACTTTCTTGTTCTGTTTTAGCCAAATAGTCGTTAAACTGCGAACAAGACATATCGGAATTTAATTTGGTGCATAATTCTGCCTTGACTGTATAGATCAACTTTCATTCGATTTTTCGTGCCCGTACTGGCCGGAGAATTAGGTATTCCACCCGGAGTCCGTAGGAGCCCTACTGAAACCCGGAGACTCCGGGACAAACCCTCAGAGGGGGCAACACTAGAGCATGTGGGCTTTGAAATTATTTATTGAATGATTTAATTTTCCTATTGTTATTTTATTACTAGGAAAGTAATTACTTATGTTAGTGTTTTTATTTATGGTATCAACTGTGATTTTGTTTCCACACAGATTAAATACACCTTCTTGGGATACTTTTCATTCCAGGAAAGGGTTGAAACTTCATCATTTAATTCTTGCCAAGTTTTGTCTGGATCGATTTTCAGCACTCAAGTGAAATATATTCCTACTTCCTATTGCAACCGTCAAACTTTACTAAATAATAATAAATAATAGTGTTGTCCATAAATAAATAATCTGAAATATGTGACAAACACGTTTGGCAAGAAAATTGACATAGCTTTTATTAGTGAGCTAAATAGAATCGTACAATAAGATTTATTCAAAATGAAGCCATTTGAGTAATGAAACTTGGGGCGAAGTCTCCCATAAAACGTGACTTTCACTGTGGCCGGCTGTAGACAACAGTATAGTGATCGGAATTGTTTTTAAACTAGGACTGACCACCGACTACTAACTATACCGCTAATGCCATAAGACTAAAGCTTATGCATTTGCGAGATCGACCTTGATTTCAATGGCGCATGTGCATTCAGGACCTGTCAAATATCTTACTTATGATGAAGATGGAAAGCCCTAATTTCAAGTGACAATGGAAAATGAAAAAACTCCCGCCCCGTGTGAGAGTCGAACTCACAACCTCTGGGTTACATGCCCAACGCTCTACCAATTGAGCTAACGGGTCATCCGTCGATCAATCGTCAGGGTGGTCGAGCTCTCATCACACACCAGGCGGCAGAATCCTTCCAATTCCCGAAGTCACTCGAAATCATGCACTATACGAAGCATCGCTGGCAGGAGGGTACTATACAGTCTCCATATTTCCCCTTTCGTCCTCTGGCATTGTCTTTCCTTGTATACGGAAATGTCCGAAAGCAATCATACATAGGAGTGAAGTCATCATTTATGACTTGACTCCTAAATATCTTATTCCCTCTTACTTATGTTTCCGCACATGACTCGATGTAATGAACGACAGCTTGGGAGTTTCTGCGCTTTGAGCAGAAGCGTTTTCAGGCGAGTAATTTGACCAAGACTTTTGGGTTGCTGGGATATGACATATAGCGGTCTAGATAGTATTTATGTTAGTTGGTAAATTTTAGGTTAGTGTCAATGATTTTCATACAACATGGACATTTTATCGTTTTCCTGACACTGGTTTGTGGTGCGTTTTTACTAATGTCACTTCAAGTCAATGTTCATACAGTCATTTTTTCTCTCATCTTAACGTATTTTTTTGTGGGGAAATCAAGGTGAAGATTCCATTGGTTTGAAAACTAGATTCCTTCAGGTATTTTCAATCGATTTTTTCAAATTGCCCCTCTCCCGAGGTATGTAAGTCAATATTGATACAGTCATTCTTTTACTGTCATCTTCATCTATTTTTCTGTGTATAGATCGAGGTGAAGCATTGATTGGTTTGAAATTTTGATTTTTCGAGGTATTTTCAATTGATTTGTCCAACTTGGTCCTCTCCTGAAGTATGTAAGTCAATATTCATACAGCCATTCTTTTTTATCATCTTTACCTATTTTCTGTAGGAAAATCGAGTTTAAGAATTGATTGGTTTAAAAATTAAATTTTTTTTGGTTTTTTCAATCGATTTGTCCAAATTGCTCTTCTTCTCATCTCAATTCAATGATTATTTTTGACTTTGATTTCTATAGGCGTTTTCGGAAACTTACTCTGGGTTGATAACTCGATCCAGATAGGTCACGTGACAAAACACTCGGATCATCTACTCGTGTTCAACGTTTACGAACGTGTCAGGTTAGGAACACTGAATATTATATTTTTCTGTGGTTTCATGAATTTGACAAACGAAAATGGTCACATTATATCTAAGTAATTATTTGATCTGATTACAAATATTTATATTTACCTGTGGATTGGTGTACTTGTCTCATATGTAATGTTGCACATAACCACAAACTTCACCCCTGCCCAAATTCTCTCCTCAATGAATTACTTTAATCAAATTATGGAGATTGAAAAGAACATGTATACCACCGGTCGTGATTCTCCCAACATGCAAATTATTTTATTATTATTGTTATCGTCGAATGTAAACTCCCGCGTTTTTTGATTGACTCAAATTTTGTAATGCGCATGCGGTGTCCTTTGCGACTCTGCTTTTGAGTAGGGTCACGAAAAATCAACCCGAGTCAGTGATCGAGTTAGCATCATTCAAGTTTCCGAACAGAGGTAGGTAACTCGGTTTGGGTAACCGAACGTTGAGGTTAGGGATCCGAACAATCCGAGTAAGTTTCCGAAAACGCCTTATATTTCCTATGAATGACCTGTATTTTCTCACGAACATAATTCGGTAAACTTAACGACCCTGGAAACGCTACAGCAAACCCGGCATCAACATCGAAAATTTGCCGCCGAGGCTGCAAAAGAAATACCTGGCAGAGAACAACATCCAGCCCGTCCAGCAACACGAAGACGATTGGGACGGCTCGAGCGTCACCTTCCAGTCGCATCCGGCACCCAGGAACGCCAGCTTCCATCCGGTGACGAACAATTACGCCTATCAGAATCAACAGTACACCAATGTGGGTAATATGGGCTACCACACGTTGCCGAATAAACCAAGAGGTCGCGGCAGGTTAGTGCTACAACTGTACAAGCTGTCCCATTTTCAATTCCCTCATCTCACTCATTTTCAAAGATATAAAGATTTTGAATTGACTCGGCCGTTACTTGATGGAAATCCATGGCAAATGAGAAAACTTCACAAACGATAAGATTTCCATAAAATTCTCAAACACACGACATGTTTCGCTAACACAGTAGCTTCGTCAGGTGATATACTGGTACGATTAACTAAACTTACCTTGGCTTGCTTATACTTCTGTTACACCCTGTATATTGAGGATACCTACCTTTCGATTTAACATTAATATCTTCATGTTTTATCACTCGAGTACAGTTAATATAAGTATATCGATATGTATCTATTTTGTCATATTCAATGTTGTTTCAAGCATTCATTTCAGTTTTACAACTGTTGTTCTGCAAAAACTGTATCACTATAAATTGAAGTGGGTGTTTCAACCCTATTTCTATTTTCAATCTACGGCTATGATTGATTTGACAGAAAATCTAACCTCTAAAATCGTATCTGACAATCAGATGCTACTAGGGAAATCGAAAAGACAAAGAGCAGACTATATGTCTCATTCTTTTATTCACTCAAACCATTGTAATAGGTCGCGTGCACGATGACCGACCCTGGAATCCTACAAAGGAATCAAAGGAATGAAATAGTATTTCACAATATTTTGGGATACGAATTGTGTTTTTTGGGCTATTCATTAATTCAAATATGCCATCACATTGTTCTGTTACACAAAAAATGCAGAGAGAGATGAAGGAATATAATTTTTCAGGTAAATAGTGATCTCACATAGTTTTCATTATAAAATTTTGTCATTTTATCATTAGAATTCCTTCTGCCACTTCTGCAATAGAAGCTTATACTGCTAATAGAGTGAAAATATCCTCGACACACACGATCATATTTCGTCAGCAGGTCAGACCAGTCCTCCCGTTTGATTGCACGAATCCAATCTTCTTGCCTTCTTTCAGAAACATCACGAGTATTTCTATTAGCTCCTATTGCAGAAGGAATACCAATGAGAAATTACAAAATTTCAAAATGAAAACTATGTGAGTGACTACAGTACTTTTAGATCACAATGTACCTACCTCATCTACCTGAAAAATCGGATTCCTGCGTCTCTCGCTGCATTTTTTGTGCATTGTACAACAGCACAATGTGATGGCATGCTTGAATTATTGAATAGCCGAAAAACACAATTATTATGCCAAAATAATTGTAAAAAACTATTGCAATCCTTTGTGAATAAATGAGGAAAGTGAGATTGTGTTTTAATGTTTCACCTCCAGGGTTGGTCATCTGACAGATCTTTTACGCAACCCATATAAAAAATAGAAAAGGACACCTGTTCAGCTGTGTCTGATCTCTTATCTAACTAATACAATCCAGTGACTCTAACTGCCTCCACAGTATTTTTTCGATTAATCACGAGGAAAAAAGAAAAAGCAAGTTTGTGGAATACGGAGTTCGAACCCGGGTTATCAAGCCCGCACCTTACTTCTTTGGCCATCAAGTGTCTTAGGAATTTATCTACAGAACAGATTTATGGGGGAATGATTATCATCACCACATGAATATTTTGTTGCCATCGTAAAAAATATTTTTTCATTAATAAAAAGTATCCTATGTCCTTTCTTATAGGTACATCTAAAAATTTGTCCTCCTCCAGAACTGGACCTTCTCTTAAAATCTACTGGTGAGCAAAGTTGTTATTTAATTGCTCATAACTTCTTAGCTATTGGGTTTGAGACAATTGTTCAAGGAATATGCCCCTCATGCTATGGCTATCCAGTCACAAGACATACTCTATAACCTTCTGCACTCGTTTTTTTTATTCGCCACCTAATAATTATAGGTCCACATGGTAAATGTTGAATGTTGGTAAAATTGAAACAGGTGTATGATGAAATACTTTATCAGCACTAAGGTGGGTATGAAAGTTCGTGATATGGACAATGTCGCCACATATTTAGAAGGCTCATCGAAGAAATATCCACTGAAAAAATGTCTACATTCATGGCTTATACTTGAAATTTCTCATAAGTGTTTTATATTTTTGAAAAGCGCAGAGCATCAATGTTTCAATTATGAAAAACTACATATATTTATAAAACATTACTGGGTTATATCTGAATAGTAACAGCTTATGCTGAATATCTGACGCACCACTGGAAACTTCGTAAAGAAATGTATGAGGAACAGTTTTTACTATTTCGATAAGTTGGCGGTCCCAAAATTGCAACATTCTCAATTTTGCCCTGTATCTCAAAAAAACGTGCTATGACAATTTTGTTTGCGATATCGTGAGTTTCACAAAAAAGTCATCCACGTTCACGGAACCGCAAATCTCTATCTTTGAAAATAAGTGAGATCCCATAAGTACATCGAAAATGGGACAGCTTGTACGAGCCATCTTATAAGCAAGCTGTAACCCTGCCATTTCTCATGCGAGTAAAAAAATCAAATTCAAAGGTCTAAAATAACACTTAAAACTGGTACAAATACTTTTTTATGCAATCGGCTCAAAAGTCCATTTTTGTTCCAAAATTATCTCTTGAAGTTGACGTTTCTCTTACTGACACAATAAAATGATCAGTATGTAGGTTTGCTAGGCTTCAGTGTCTAGGAGCTAAAGTTGAATATTAACTCGTGGGAACTAAAAACGTGTCGGATGACAGCTGATATGGTAGTTGCTTTGACTCTGACATGCTCAAGTGACTGAAAATAGTAATATTTTGGATTGCAGAAAAAATAGCATATTTCATTCGGATCAAAAGTGACTCTGTCATGTCATGAAATTCATTTTTTTCTTCTAACTTTCAAGGTTAATAATTCCGTATTCAAGTGCGACATTTTTTTATATGAAGTACTAACATTATTCTCGCTCACTCTATCAGCTCTATCATATACGACATGACCTTTCCGGAAGACAATTAGAAATGAAACTAAACTCCTCTGAACTAATCGCAAATCAAATAGCCATGAACGACTATTATATCCATTACCTTTCTTTTAAATTATTATTCTTGGGGGGTGGGTAATTACCATCACCCCCCTCCATGTCGACGCCCTTGGTTATACAACTCTCCCTATCGACGCCTCTATAGGTTCAACAACGAGTACGAGTCGATGCCGGGCCACGTCTACGGCTACATAACGCCCGATGCCGGTCCGAGTCCTGCCGCCTCCAGACCGACCTCGCCACCGCGACGGCCCGACAGCCGCCCCCAAACTCCCCTTCACCATCAACAAACTCCCCTCAACCAACAACCAACTCCCCTCCACCAACCACAGACTCTCGTCGACCGGCCACAGGACACCCGGGGGCCGAAAGGCTACGGCGGACAACAGGACAGCCAATCGCAATCTTCCCTCAACACACAACAAACTCTTGTCGATCGGCCACAGGACGCCAGGGGGTCGAGAGGCTGCGGCGGACAACAGGACGACCGATCGCAAACTCCCCTCCACCAACAACATATGCCCGTTGACCGGCCACAGGACGCCAGGGGGCAGAAGGGCTACGGCGGACAACAGGACGGCCGGTCGCAAACTTTCCTCAACCCACAACAAACACTTGTTGACCGGCCACAGGACACCAGGGGGCCGAGAGGCTATGGCAAACAAGCGGACGGCCGGTCGCAAACTGTCCTTCAGCAACAACAGACGTCCGTTGACCGGCCCCAGGATGTCAGAGGGTCGAGGAACGACGAAATGAGTTACGGGGTACAGGCGGACAGTCGTAGTCGGACGCCAGTCAATGTGAACAGAGAGTCCCAGGGGCCGGTAGGAAAGTCAGGGTGAGGTTTTTCGATTTAATAGAAATAAACAATAAAAATTAGAAATGCAAAATCTGATAGACATAAACAAAATTTTGGTAATCAAGAGCTTTCTGATGAATACAAAATACAGAGGAATAAAGTTAATGCTCTGATAAAAAGAGTGAAAGCTCAACATATCAATAGGAAATTTGAAAATTCTGAAGGTAATCAAAGAAAACTTTGGGATACGATAAACTATTGTTTGAGAGGTTCCAGTATCGGTGAGAATATTGCAAAGGAAATAATATCGTATTATAATAACCTTCCACGTCTAAATGTCTGTCCACAAAATAATGATTTCACAATGCTTTTGTTTCCCACTGATGAAAGCGAAATCATTTCTATAATTCATGATTAAAAAAAAACATGCCCTGATCCAGAAGGTATGGTTACTAAAGACATATTTGAATTGTGAAAAATTTTACCTACACCAATATCAAAATTGATCAATGAATCTTTCATAAAAGAAAGTCTACCACATGAATTGAAACATGCATCACTGAGAGCTATTTACAAAAATGGAGATGCTCAGGATCCAACTAACTATAGACCAATAGCTTTAATAAGCATATTTCCTAAAATTTTTGAAAAAATTCTCAAGAAACGCATTGTAGAATTCATAAAAAAAAATATAGCTTTGATTCTAATCAATTTGGTTTTCAAGACAACAGTGGAATACAAGCAGCAATATTACACGTGATAGAATCAATCCAGAAAGGAATTGAATCAGGAAATTATGTGGTAGCTATTTTCATTGATCTCAAAAAGGCTTTTGACATAGTTGATCATACAACACTTTTAGAAAACTTCAAAACAATGGGACTCAGAGGCATTGTGAGAAATGTTTTGAATTGATATCTAGAAAATAGGACAATGAAAGCAAGAATCCTTCAAATTTAGAAAATATGATGAATGAAGACTTGAAAATATCTGAAAATGGCTCCACTCTAACCTTTTATCGATAAATACTAATAAAACAGGATTTACCTCAACCTTAAAATAAAAAATAAACTCTTGAAACAAACTGACCAGATAAAATATCTAGGTATTTGGTTTCATGACAGGTTGAAGTGGGACAAACACATTGATGTTTTGACAAAGAAAATATCTCCAATTATTGGTGCTTTGAGAAGATCCCAAACTTGACATTAAAATTGCAAACATGATTCTCTACTCTCATATACTGAGTCGTATCAACTATTCAATAAATGTTTGGGGATCTTGTTCAAAAAATAATTCTAATGAAATATCAACATTATATTGAAAATCGTTAAAAGTACTGTATCGTGTCCCATTAGATACACCAACCAATCTATTGTATGAAATAACAAATACGTGTTCTTCAGATGAAATATATAGAATTTAAACTCTTAAAATTCCATATATCATAAATTGAAGTCGAATATTATTTTGATACGGAATACTGACATTCATAATCATGAAACTAGACAATATAACTTGTTTCATCTTGACGCCGCTAGCTCCATAGTCGGACAAAAATGATTTACTCATTCCGCCTTAACTGAATTCAATAAACTACCTGGCAATATGAAAAATTGCAGAAATATAGGTACATTTAAAAATGAAGTAAAAAAACTGATTATTTCTGAGCGAACTGGATAAAATTATTCATGTTATTTTACTGTTTTCTACAAATATTATTCTTTGTTTGCCAATTTATAAATTTTGATATATTTTGAATGATGAAATGTTTACCAATAGGTATTGAGTTATGTACTTCCTTATACCAGAGCCTATTCTGTCTGGAAGTCATTTGTTCAATAAATAAATAAAGAATAAAAAAAATTCAGAATCTCGCTTTGCTCATATGGACTGCTAATCGACTATATCAACAGACTGTGGAGAACACGTCAGCATCGAAAGAAGAGGACAATTTACAGCGTGTTTAACTTTAAGCGGCCTCCCTCTATATCTTGGCTATTAGTCATACTATTTGTACCAAATTTGGACCGGTATGAATGAGTATTGATATGATCCGTTTTTCACAGACAAACATACTTTTGGTCAGTGCCGTGCGTTTTCATTGAAATAAAATGAGTCGATTTTTTATGAAATCATATTAGCAATTATGTTGCAAGAAAAATAATCTCATATTATTGTTCCTCATGCTTTTGAACCTTCATGTGCCACAAATTACCTTATTCCTAATTAACAGGATTGGCTTGATTATTTTCATTTTCAGTCTCGAAATAATAGTGAATTCAAATTATTTGAAAATTTTGGATCGTTCAATAGCTCCAGTAGGTTGGAAATCATGATTTGAAAGAAAAAATAAGATACACTATTTTACGTTAATCTCATCGTTTCCGAGTAAAAAATTATTTACGTTCCCAAAAATGCTGTTCAGATGTGCCTGTTTTGTTGAAACCCTTCATGGGAATCATATGAAAATTCACATATGGGGGTTTGAAATCATAAAGAACCATATCATGAGGTCAGCTTTCCTGTAAAAGAATTGCTAATATGATTTCATGAAAAATTGACTCATTTTCATTTCAATACATTATGTTCATCTCTGAAGAACTGATCATATTGATGGTTATTCATACCAGTACAAATTTTGAGTGAAGTGAGTATATGCATTTCTCAGAGAGGCCAAGATCATTAATGCGCCTGTCAGCATTTCAAAGTGGGATAAGGCGGGAATTTTGAAATCCTATAGCTGCAATCACTCAATATCACTAAAGAAAGAACAAATATGTAGATTTTGTGAGTCAATAATAACAGCACTGAGGACTGAGATAATGAATAATCTCATTTTCGAATGTATATTGCAAATTGCATGTCACGGTGTAGATTACTTGTAATTCTGTTGTCAGCTGTATTGAGGCAGTGATAAGTTACCTATATCTGATTGATGATTCCATTAACCATTCTACATAGTCCATGGGTAGCAGTAAAAGTCAAAATTGGAGTTAAAAACGGAATAAAACATGAAACTTCACTCAATGAGGGCTAACATTAATTATTGTCCACCAAACCGCGCTACCAAAACGTGAGGTCAGGGTTGGTGGAACTGGTACTTTTTATTTTCATGTCATTTGGCTTCTTGCTATGATATATTATTCGTCAATGTAAGAATTGGTCGTAAAGTTCCACATTGAGAGTAAAAAACGTAAGACGGCTCACGTCTTTCGATAACTTGAGGTTTTCTATTTGTTCAAATATTCTGCATAATGTATTTCGAATATTTTCGATAAAACAGGCCATAGCTGTTAGGGCTACCCAGCAACATTTTGGGATTTTGGACTTTGACACTGACCTCATTTTTTAGTAGCGCCAACTAGTGAGAGTGAGAATGTTAGCCCTCATTCTGAAACAACTATTTTCTTGATAGGTATCAATCAACTGTCATAAGAAGACGTTCGAATTTTGAAATTGTAGATAAACCTTTCGCCTTGGTGAAGGATGCGATTGTGAATATTATAGGGATACCCTTTCGTGCACCCAAAAAGATATAAAAAAATTCTTGAAATGTTGGAGTATTTTTGCGATTACTACTAGCATTCCATATAAGCGAAGCAAGATCCTTAATGGTCTAAGGGTATAACGTGATAATATTGTTTTTTCCATATGCCATGACAAATGACCTACCTAGTAGTTTTTATTGTACCCACTCCATTATCTCTGTACCTTGAACAAGTCTGTACACATCCTTCACTGGATGTGAGCTAAATACTTCTGGGTCGCCGACCGGTTGCCCAAAAATCTTCTGTCTTTTGCGATGCAATGCCTCGCATCTGCACAGTATATGTGATACTGTTTCTGGTTCCTTTCCGCATAGTCTGCAGCTTGGGTCGCCATCATACAGTCCCATTCTGATGAGGTGCTCCTTTCCTGGCGCATGGCCAGTCATGAGTCCCGTGACAGTTTTTATCTGTACTCTGTTCAAGTTGAGCACGTCTACAGTTCCCAGTATCTCTTATGTTCTGCCTGAATCAATTGTTTAACTGACACTCGTGCTGTACGTTTTGGTACTCCAAGAGTCTGTCCTGGATCTGGCTCGTTGTCCGACCCTCTTCTTGCAAGTTTCGTCAGCTTTCTCATTTCCAGCGATCCTCTGATGTCCTGGCACCCAGATTAGCTTGGCGCAATTCCGGTCTGCCAAAGTTCTCAGTTCCCTCTTGCAATCCCATACTAGTCTAGATGTCACTTCCTGGCTTTCTATTGCATTCAGTGCCGCTTGACAAATGACAGTATATTATTATACAAGATATACAGTGTGCTATCGAAATGAATACATTCCCTAATAATGCTCAAGGTGTTTCATCGAGTGGTACGAGCGAAAAAAATATAGTCATCAAAATAAGATTTGGGGTTAGGCCCCTTTATCCACCGAAAATTCTACGCATCGAGATATATTAGTAGAAGTACGTTGAAAACGGGAATAAATGAAATACGAATAAAGAATACAAAAATCACTAGTAACTACTAAAAAGCAACTGTTAGTCTTCACTACAATGGTTTGGTGAGAACCTTCAGATAACCGATGGTAGAATAGATAATGAAAACATATCAAAGTAGACTCACCCCAGAAGCATTTCATCACTGATTCACATAGTTGATTATTTTGGATTTTTTCTCCTCGTTTCTATGGAATGAAAATATGAGTATTCTTTAAATATATGTGTAGTAGGACAAATATCAGATGATTTGCCCCAAAATGTCACTGCATTTGAAAAATGTTTCTATCAGGGAGTCTAAAAGAAATCCCTAATAATCATACAAAATGAATAATTAGTGACATTGTAATTCAGATTGGTTAGCTTATTGAAAAACCGAAGAGATTGAATTGATGAAGAAGTATGTGAACTTCCGAAAAACACTTTTCTAATGGTCGTTTGTTTTTACGCTGAGGGGATAAGTAATAGAAGT